AGGGCAGCCCAGATGCCCATTCAACCTGGGTGAGTTGGAATGTCTTCAAATTTGTTTACTCACTCAACAAAGCACTCAGCCAAAGTCCACCCTGGCCAGGCACCCCGGCCCTAGGTGTACAGAAACACACCACTTGTGGATTTATCAACCATCTCGAGCCTATTTCTAATGGTCTGTTTTTGATTAAGCATTATAGAAACATAGCAAGAAACAAACCCACAAGTTAATGAGTTATGGAACAGTCTTCAAAACACCATCACAGAGAATCCTGCTAGATACCCCAGAAATCCTTCAAATACTGAAGAGCAGCCTCCATGTCTTCAGAGTAACTGCAACTTGGCATGCATCGTAGTCAGTTTCCAAATGTTTACATTTTCTGTTTATGCTGCAAGTGAGCCTCTCAAAAATACAGCTTTGCCCTTTTAAAAACAAACTATCTTCCTCTACTTCTTTGGGATTAAATAGCATTCACAGTGGAATTTGGCTGGCTTCTCTCTTGCTGGGTAATTCTTTTTATGTTTTACATATATTTATAATGCGTGTATATACCTGTGAGTTTATGTGTACAAATGGTGTGCAAGAGTCCCAGGAGGCTGGAAGAGGACATCAAATCCCTGGGACTGGAGTTACAGGCATTGAGCCATGACCTGTGTTCTGGGAACTGATCTCGAGTCCTTAGCAAGCGTTCTGAATTGCTGAGTCCTCTCTCTAGGCCTGCTTTATGCTTTTTTCTATGTCTGTCTGTTGTTTTTCATCAGGTATCACTGTGTTGCACTGGAGGTCTCTGGGCAGACCAGGTGTGAACTGGGCAGCAATCTTCCTGCCTCTGTTCCCAATTGCTAAGATGACAGGTGTTCGATTCGGTGTGAAGATTCTCTGGGTGGGGAGGTGGGTGTTGTCTTCTTTCTTTCTTTCTTTCTTTCTTTCTTTCTTTCTTTCTTTCTTTCTTTCTTTCTTTCTTTCTTTCTTCCTTTCTTCCTTTCTTCCTTTCTTCCTTTCTTCCTTTCTTCCTTTCTTTCTTTCTATTTTTGTTATTTCAAGCAAATTCATAGTTGGACCTGGATGCTTTGTCAGACTCTGATATGTGTGTGTTTGACTTTAAAAAAATTTTTTTTGTGAGCCGGGTGGTGGTGGCACACACCTTTAGTCCCAGCACTCGGGAGGCAGAGGCAGGAGGATCTCTGTGAATTCGAGGCCAGCCTGGTCTACAAGAGCTAGTTCCAGGACAGCCTCCAAAGCCACGGAGAACCCTGCCTTGAAAAAAATTGTGTGTGTGTGTATGGGTGTTTGTCTGCATGCATGTTTGTGTTCAATGTGTATGTCTGGTGTCCAGAGGCCAGAAGATGGAGCCAGGTCCCCTGAAACAGGAGTTCTAGATGATTGTGCGCTGTCACATGGTTGCTGGAAAACAAACCCAGGTCCTCTGCAAGAGCAGCAGTGCTCTTCACTGCTGAGTCATCTCTCCAGGCCCCGTTACTCACATTTTAATTACTTCTTCATAGATTTTTTTTTGTTAAAACATTATATAAATTGTGCTGCCAGTATCAGTTGATGCTCATTGCTTAGATCTTTAGCTCATCAGGGGCTGCAAAGCACTGATGTTCCAATTCTGTCCTTCTAATTTACTTTTGGGACTTTAATTCTTACCACGCTGTCGAAGTCTCTGCCTTTGGTTTCCTCGGACTATCTCTAGTTTTATCTGTATCTTTATGATGTCACTGTGTTGTATTTTGTCTCATGATTGTATGACATGTGACTTTGAACACTTCCTGTTACTTATTCTCTCCTTCATTTTTATATGTGTGGGCACTTTCCCTGAATCTGTCTGTGTACCTTGTGCCCGAGGTGCATAAGGGAGCCAGACGATGATGTCAGACCCTCTGGGACTGGAGTTACAAAAAGTTGTGTGCAGCACGCCTTTTCTTTTTGGCCACCAACCAGCTCCCGAATCATGACACGGAAACTTACTAGTTTTGAACGCTTGGCCTAGTTTAGGCTTGTTTCTGGCTAGCTCTTTTAACTTAAATTAACCTGTTTCTCTTTATCTACTTTTTGCCTCAAGGCTTTATTTTTCTTTCCTTCTATATATCTTACTTTCACAGCTTCTTGTGTCTGGCTGGCCGCTGCCTCGCTTCTTGCTCCAGGTATGTCCCTGTCTCCCTCATTCTCTTCAGTCTTTCTTCTTTCTCTTCCTCTTGAGCCTAGATTTCTCCTCCTATTTATTCTCTGACTATCCCTCTCCTACCTAGCTATTGGCCATTAAGACTAATCAGGTGCCTTAGGCAGGCAAGGTGAAACAGATGCAACACATCTTTACATAGTTAAACAAATGCAGCACAAACAAATGTAACACACCTTTATGTCATTAATAAAGGCAGCAAAAAAACAGATGTAACACACCTTTACACAGTTAAAGTAATAATCTACAGCATAAACAAATGGATCACATCTTTGCCCTGTTAAAATGATACTCCACAACAGTTGCGTGCCCCCATAGGGGTGCTGAGAGCTGAACTGAGAGCCTTTGAGCCATCTTTCCAGCTCCTCCTCCTTTATGGGCATTAAGTTTACTCACACTTGGAGAAAGGAGGCATTATATCACAAAAAAGAGGGTACTCTTTTTTTCTGATTTGTGTGTAAATTGATTTTTTTTGTTGTTTGTTGTTTTTTTGAGGCAGGGTTTCTCTGTGTAACAGTCCTAGCTGTCCTGGAACTTGCTCTGTAGACCAGGCTAGCCTCGAACTCAGAGATCTGTCTGCTTCTACATCTTGAGTGCTGGAATTAAAGGTGTTTGCTATCACTACCTGGCTGTAAGTTACTAAAAATATAGACTAAAGCAGGGTGGTGGTTCACACCTCTAATTCCAGCACTCAGGAAGTAGAGGCAGGGGGACTTCTGTGAGTTTGAATCCATCTTGGTCTACATAATGAGTTCCAGACAGCCAAAACTATTACACATAGAAACCCTGTCTCAAAAAGCCAAATTCCCCCTCCCCAACACACACTCTGAAAATGAGAGTTGTTTAAATTTGGCATAGAAATTTCACATCAGATTGTTTCTCTCCTTAGAAAAAGGTATCTCCTTAGATAAACATTCTGGATTTTATGGGACAATCCTAGTTGCACAAGTTTCTAAAATCCTTTATTTAATGCAGTTTCTGCCATCCCCTATCCTTATTTTTTAACTTTTTCTTGTCCAATTTGGACCATAAGAAGTTTCAGTGTAGAGTTTCTTCCTGGAAGTTAGAATTAGGTTTTGCAGCAAACCCAGCTAAACTTCCCCAACTCACTGCTCAGTGTGAGCCAGCTTTCTCAACGGGCTTGCAGAGCACTTGATCTCTTCTCCTGTCTGCTTTAGTGGCACCCAGAGATGTCTAAGTTTGCTGTAAACTTGTCAAGTTTTCAGTTTTGCTGCAATAAATGTTGTTAGGAGACAAGCGGTCACAAATGTCATTTCAGAACTGCTACAAAGTAGCACGGATGTAGGTACAGGTAAAACACGGGACCTGCTTTCTTTCTTTCTTTTTTCTTTTCTTTTCTTTTTTTTTTTTTGGTTTTATGACACAGGGTTTCTCTGTATTGTTTTGGAGGCTGTCGTCCAGCCTGGCCTCGAACTCACAGAGATCCGCCTGCCTCTGCCTCCCTAGTGCTGGGATTAAAGGCGTGTGCCACCACCGCCCGGCCCGGCTTTCTTTTGATGACTACCCCTCTCTCTCCTCCAAGTCTCCATCTCTCACTATGGGTCATGGAGGTTTTTATCAGGGCTGTTCTGAGGCAAATGGTCACTCCATTAGGACAACACTAAAGTTTTCTATAGGTCAGAAGGGCAGGACTAGTAGGAAAGGCGACAGTCAAGTGGTTTCTAGTAACAGTTTGTATTCATGGTATTTCTAGTGGTTTGTACACTTTCCTGGGGAAGCAGTAAAATTGGGGTATTTCTAAATTTTAATTAAAAATATTAAGAAATGGGAATTCTTCTTACATGCTGTTAAATGTAAATGATAACTTTAGACATGGACAAGAAGCCAGGTGTTAGGAACTTGTACAACTCCACCATGATGCTAGTTTATACTTTTAACTACTGTTTAGGTTTGTGGTTGGAAAGTTGAAGCAATTCTGCAAGCACTGGCTGCTCTTGCAGAAGACCTGGGTTCAATTCCTAGCACCCACATGGGAAGGAGAAAGTCATAGCCACACCTTATCTTCTTAGCGTCTCAGTAGACAAGAGAGCAAGTTCCTGTTTCTGCCTGCTTATATCCTCTCTCTGCCCAGCCATCTCTTTCATGTCTGGTCTGTACAAACCTCCAGACCTTTATGGTTAGCTAGTGGCAAGCTCCATTATTTGTGTACAAGCAAGATATCACCACAGTCTGTGACTCCAGTTCCAAGTGGTCTGATGCTCTCTTTTGGACTCCAGGCATACATATGGTACACAGACCTGCAGGCACACATTAATACACACACGCACGCGTGCACACACACAACGAGGAGCTTCACAAGAAAAGCAAAACACTCAGTAACACAGCCGGCACTTGATAACAGCAAGTACATTAATTCCCAATAAGCAGTTAACTGTTGTACCTTCCTATTTTACAGACAGGAAGTGAGCAATCAATGATTAAGAAAAATCACCCTTCATACCTGGCAGGAAACAGGTTTATTCATTATCAGAAGCCATGAAATGCACCTCAACATTGTGTCTCAGTTTTCATCTTCACCCTTCACCCTCCAGTGTCTGGCCTGAGTCCCTCACAAAATTATGTCAAACATTACAACGAACACAAAATCACTTGGTGGTTTTCCTTTTTTTTTTTTTTTAGACAGGTTTTGTCTGTGTAACAGCCCTGGCTGTTCTGGAACTTGCTTTGTAGACCACACTGGCTTGAATTCAGAGTTCTGCCTGCCTTTGCCTCAAAACGCTGGGATTAAAGGTATGTGCCACAACACCCGCTAAAATCACTTGTTTTTGAAAGAGGACTATACAACCTATTTTCTTCTTACCTGAGGCAGAATTAGGTGGTGGATGACAGATTTTCTAGATATTCTTAGGGTATCCTCTCCAAAATGCAGTAGGAATCATTGCTGTCTTAGTTGGGGTTTCTATTGCTGTGAAAAGACACCATGACCACGACAACTCTTATAAAGGAAAACATTTAACTGGGGCTCAGATGTTCAGTCCATTATCACCATGGTGGGGCATGGTTGCGTGCATGCAGACATGGTGCTGGAGAAGGAGATGAGAGTCCTGCATCTTGCAAGAAACGCCTGAGACACTGGGAATGGTTTGGGCAAATATGAGATCTCAAAGCCCACCTACACACTGACACACTTCCTCCAACAAGACCACATTTATTCCAACAAGGCCACACCTCTCAAAGTGGCACTCCCTTTGGGGCCATTTTCTTTCAAACCACCGCACTGCACTCTTTTGCTGCCTCCAGCAGCGCAGGGCTCAAAGGCAAATCCACGGAGCCAGCTTACTGTGACATTTTTATCTGAGGGGCAAGGGGAAAGACACACACTCTAATGATTTCCTTTTTTATTCTTCTGTATTCTCCATTATCTTCTCCTATCTCTATCCAGAAATGTTCTTCTGACTCTTGATGTTGTCCTTCTAACTCTATGTTTATTCTTCCTTATTCTCTCATTCTTGATGTTTTGCTTCTCTTATCTTTATTCTTGTTTTACTTCTAAATCTATCTTTATTCTTTCCCTTACAGCTTATATACCCCAGCAAAATCTTTGAGGCAATATAAGAAATAGCAATAACATTCTATTTTTCAAGGGAATGATTACAATGAATACAAGTAAAAAAACCAGCATGTTATTCATATCCCTTACATGATTAAACATTTTAGGTATTACAGGTGGAAAAACAAATTATCCTCAAGAACCCACATACCTAAGCAACTTGTTACAGATCAATAGTGTTAGTAGTAAAGTTATTTTTTCAGCTGTTCTTTACTGGCAGGCTGCGTTTTGAAGTTACAAAGAAAGGACCAATCACTTTATTATTTATCTTGAAAGGTAATCTTGTAAGGAATCTTAAAAGAATCACAAACCTAAACTTTTGTACATGACAAAGAAGCTCTATTTTAAATCTTTAGGGTGAATACCCACTCATCAATAGTTTTTTATTATCAGGAGACTGAGGGAAAAAATACATAGAAGGAATTAACCTTTGATCCTAGCAAGGAAGTATGTAGTAATAATTGGGCTGCTTTGTATTTTTGACCCTAACCTAATGAATCTATAACTCACCTATGTGTCCTTGTGAACTTTAGATTGTTTTTTGGGGTCTTTTTTTGGGGGGGGTCTTTTGAGACAGGGTTTCTCTGTATTGTTTTTTGGAGACTGTCCTGGAACCCGCTCTGTAGACCAGGCTTTTACTAAAGGCACGGTAGAAGCAGAAGACACTCTGGGGTCTGTGGGCTCAGGGCTTTGCCTATCCGAGATTCATCCATCAGGGATTTCCCTCCTGGTGGGCTGACACCTGAACTTGAGTTGCCGTCTGCTGCTCCTCAGACAGCACCACTAGCACCACTCCCTGGCCCCAGCAGCCTGTAACAATATCATAATGCAAAATGCAATTTTGTCCAATTTCAAAAGTCCCCATAGTCTATCAATCTCAACAATATTTAAGAGTCAAAAGTTCAAAATCTCATGATATAAAAACAAAATCAAAAAGCAGATCACATACTTCCAACATACAATGGCACAGAATATACATTATCATCCCAAAAAGGAAGGAAGGAAGGGAGGGAGCACAGTGGGGAAACGCTGGGCCATAGCACAACAAAAAAACCAGCTGAGCAAACCTCAAACTCTGCACCTCCATGTCTGATGTCAAAACTCTCTTCAGATCTCCAACTCCCTTCAGCTTTGTTGACTGCAACACACTTCTTTCTCTTGGGCTGGTTCCCTCCCTGTTAGCAGCTCTCCTGGGCAGTATCCCATGGCTCTGGCATCTCCAACATCTTGGGGTTTCCCAGGTAATACAGGTTTCAATTTCACGGCTTCATGCAATGACCTCTCTAGGACTACATTCAGGGATAACCCTGACACACGCCTGGCCTCAGCTGCTTTCCTTAGGCACAGAGGCAAATTCCATAGCCCCTTCCTTTTATCCTTAACTCCAGAACCACATGGCCGAAGCTGCCAAGTTGTGCTGCTTATTGGGGCTGGAACATAGCCCCTTGCTCAATTACATCTTTACCAACTTTCTGTTTTCGATGGTTTCCTTTACTGCCTAAGCCGGACTGTTCTGGAACTTGCTCTGTAAAACAGATTGGACTCAAATTCAGAGATCCACCAGCCTCTGCCTTCTGAGTGCTGGGATTAAAGGTGTGCACTACCACAGCTGGCTCTAAATTTTTCTTTAATTCCCTTTCACAAGTTGGAAACTTAGGTGGGTAAGATCTTGCCCTGAGGTCACCACTCCCTTTATTCCATCTCTTAATCTTTATCTCCTTGAACACAGGATTCAGACTTAGCTCTATTAGCTCCCTTTCTCCTCAAATATTTTTCCTTGCTCAGCTTACTCCTTTTCATTATGTATCTTCATTAGAGTTAACACTATCATACTAGGCTGTTTTGAGATTTCCTCTGCCAAGGCAAGTAATCTAAAACTCTTCATTCACTTTAGCCTCAGGCAAACTTTTTGGACAAGGGCAAAAAGCAGCCACCATGCCTGGCTGACCATGGTAACTCTTATAAAGGAAAACATTAAATTGGGGTGGCTCACTTACAGTTCAGAGGTTCAGTTCATTATCATGGTGGCGTGCAGGCAGACATGGTGCTGGAGAAGCAGCTGAGAGTCCTACATCTTGTAGGCAACAGGAAGTGGTCTGAGACACTAGGTAAGGCTTGAGCATATATAAGACCACAAAGTCCACCTCCACACTGATATATTTCCTCCAAGACCACATCTACTCCAATAAGACCACACTTCCTAATAGTGACACTCCCTTTGGGGGCCATTTTCTTTCAAACTGCCACTTAACCTTTCTGAGTGCTTTACTTTAACAACAATACAGTTACCTTGTGTATTAGAGTTTCCATTGCTGCAATGAAACACCATGACCAAAAAGCAAGTTGGGGAGGAAAGGGCTTATTTGACTTACATTTCCACATTGCTGTTCATCACTGAAGGAAGTCAGGACAGGAACACAAATAGGACAGGATCCTAGAGAGAGGAGCTGCTGCAGAGGCCATGGAGGGTACTGCTTACTGGCCTGCTCACTTAGAGAATGCAGGACCACTAGCCCAGGGATGGCACCACCCACGATGGGCTGGACCCTCTCTCATTGATCACTAATTAGAAAATGCCGTACAGCTGGATCTCATGGAGACATTTCCTCAACGGAGGCTCCTTCCTCTCTGATTATTCTAGTTTGTGTCAAATTTACATACAAAACCAGCCAGTACACCGAGTTTGATACCTTATGAATACAACAAAACACAGCTGGTTAGGGATACTGAGTAAACTTCTGCCAATCAAATCCATTGCCAAATTCTGCTATGTAACTGCAAAACATACCTGATTGCAGCTACTTTTCATCTCCGGCATTGCCATTTTAATAGAAGACTGCTGTATTTGTCAGGGTTCTCTAGAGTAACAACTTATAATCCAACAATGGCTGGGTGTGAATAGAAGCTCCAAGAAATCAGTAGTTGCTCAATTCACCAGACTGGATCTCAGTGGTTCTTCAGTAGACGCTGGAATCTTGACATAAGGTCTAATGCCAATGAACGAATGGACTTGCTAGTAAGGCAAAGGCAAGCAGGCTAAGAACAGCAGCTTCCTTCTTCCATGTCCTTATATAGGATCCCAGCAGAATGTGTGGCTCAGTTTAAAGGTGTGTCTGCCTGCCTCCAGTCCTAGATTAAAGTTACACCTTTTCCCAGCTCCAAAGGCATGTCTTCCTACCTCAAAGATTTAGATGAGAAGGGGATCTTCCTACTTTAAATTAAGCAAAAATTCCTCACAGGTATGCCTTCCATTTTTAGATTTTAGTTAATCCCTGATGTAGTCAAATTGACAACCCAAAATAGCCATCACAACTGCCATTGCCATTGCATTGTTTGCCTGAACAATTGTTAGTGGCTGGAAACTTTTCTCGGTTTCTATTAACTTTTCCCTCAACAGTATCAAGACAATCTTAAAGAGAAATTGTAAGAAAAACAGCAACAACCATATAGATCATACTGCCTTTCTGCTGGAAATCTTGCAGGTTTCTCCACATTTCTTAGAATGTGTACATGCCAGGCGGTGGCAGAGCATGCCTTAAAGCCTAGCACTTGGGAGGCAGAGGTCAGCCTGGTCTACAGAGCTAGTTCCAGAACAGCTAGGGATGTTATACAGAGAAACCCTGTCTTAAAAAACAAAAACACAAACCAAACCAAACCAAAAAAAGACCGTTATGTTCAGGGACCACAAACTACAGCTCTCAGACCAAATCTAACCTTCCACCTACCTATTTGTGGAGGTGCCTTTCCTGGAGTTGGGTCACATACTGTCTATAACTGCTTTTATACAGTTTCAAAAAGCTGAGTAAGGTAACAGATGGCATGGCTCCCATCTCCTCCATTCTATCACTAGATCTTCAGCTAACTCTTTCCCTGCTCCATCTCAACCAAGCTTATTCTAATGAATCTTATACTTCCTGAAACAATGAGCACCACCCAATGACTCCCTCATCATCACCAAGGTCAGTGGCAACTCCTCAGACTTTCCTGACCAAACAAATCAGAGAGGCCCTTTCAACCACTCTAGTCATCTATTCTGAAAACTGTAGGACTGAGGTTTTATAATAGGGAAAAAATATGTACCTAGTTTTTCCCAGAGGTATCCACCTTTCAACACTGCAACACGACACTGTGGTTTACAAGTGGGTTGGGCCACATTCACAGCTATCCTGGGATTCATGCAATATGCAAGGGCCAACTTTGCTGGCACCACCTAATAGCACCACAATCAAGAACCAGCTGAGTGTTTGCCTTGTCTATCAGGCCTAAGCAAGGTGCTGACCTCAGGCAGATCAAGGTCATAGGGCTGCCTCAGGCAGTTTTACCTATTTACTGGCCTTGACACTGATCATTGAAGACACATGCTGCCTCTTCATGCGGGCTCAGTGGCAGGCATTGTGACTGTTTGTTTTCCTGAGGTGCCCTTCTAAGACTCTTTGGGGAGCCTTCTGGAGTCAGTGTCTTGGGCTACTGAAAGGCAGGTAAAAAGTTGTTTGTCTACTTTGGTCTCCAAATCTGTTGGGGTTTGGATAGGGCAGGAGCTTCTGTTTTTACCATCATGGTGAAAGCAGTACAACAACATGGTATTGAACATTAAAATTACACATTGGTTTATATCTCTCCCCTAGAACATAAGCTCTAGGAGAGAAGAGATCTTGCTTTGTTCAGACCTATTTCCATTTTAACCAGTGGTACCACAAACAATATCTGGTATTGTCTTTAAATAAGGGACACCAATGAATAACTGCCGAGTAAATGACAGCCACCAGGACACTGTACAAAGTCAGCTTTCAAAGATGTGTTCCAATACCATAGATTTGCATTAACATTGGCCTGATACCAATCACAGATGGCCAGAGGAAGATGAATCCGGATTTCTGGCTCCACTATAGGCAAAAAGCCACTAAGAGCAACTCTTCCTGACATGGGTCCATTTTGCACTCGGTCAGGTAAGGTTAAATCAGGGAAAGTGATCTTCCAGAACTGAACAAACATATTCTCAACATTATGATTATGGTTAAGAATTTTATTATCAAAATTATTACATCTCTTGTGAAAGTTCAAATGTTACAGCAAGGTGTAAACACTCCACTTGAGGAAGAAGCGATGCTCCTTTCCTTCCAAGAGCCCCCCTCCCCCCACCCTCCCCCCCCCCAGAGGTCTGGTCTTGACAGCACCCTGCCCACACAGAGTGGCTGGGGTCTCTGCACGTGCCAGGCAGGGTGAGGGCCGCCTGCCCGCTGGCCTCTCCCCTTGGCTAAAAGCCAAGGGGAGAATGCAAACCCCAGCCCAAATGGAGAGACATTTACATACGTTTTATATAATATACAAAGAAACCAGCATCCCAGGCAACATGATTTCCACTCCCAATGCTCTCCCAGACTGATGGGTTTGTGGGGGAAACAACAAAAAGAAAAGTACTATGCTGAGGGCTCAGCATCAAAAACAAAAATCTAAAACCATAACAGAAAAATCTCCCCTCATTTGAGCAAACACCTGATTTCAATTTTGAAAAAGTGAAATTTTGTAACAGTCACACACAAAGAGAGAAGACTGTGCATATGATAGCTATAGGTCAGGGTAGAAAAGAAGGAGATGAAAGAGGCTGGGGAATGGGAAAGAAAACAGATTAGAGGTAAGGAGGGAGACTCACAGTATATCTTGTCCAAAAGAAGTACGGTCCACTGCAGCACCAGGGATCACACTGTCATACACTCACTACCCTACCATGGTTATAGCCGAATACAAAATTAGATAAATAAAAACACGCCAGGTATTACAGTAAACAAGTGAAAGAAATAAGCTGGCAACCATATGGAATTTAAAAAGATTGTGTACCCCACCTGGGCTGGCTCCAGGGCTCCTCCAGGGGTGTACAACAGGCACAATGCACTGATGGGGAGAAGCCAGTCTACTCTTGTCTCTCATCCAGAACAGTGTTAGGGGTATGGGTGACCTGTTAACTCTCACGTAAGCATCCCCCAAGGAAATGTGGGGCAGACCCCACACACAATCACAGCCCTGTCGGTGCCACTCTACAACCCTATCTGCCCCATTCTTACCCTGCAGTCATGAGTGCATGTTTCTCAGCCATGGAGGCAGTACTGCTCTCAGGACAGCAACGCCTGATTAACCGGGAATAGGAAAATTAAAACTCAAAGGTTCCCCAGACCACTCCTTCTCTACTTACTTCACTATTAGTAAGCCGTGACATGTGGAAGCAGTGGAATGGTAACAGCTGAGGCCCAATCCATCCCAAATCTGCTCCAATAACCAGAAGCTGACTGCCAGCTCCTCTCAAGATAGCCAGACAAGCCTCAGCCAGAGCAGGCAGCAGACATTCCTCTCTGCCCATCTCCTGGTGGCTTTAAGACAAAGGTAGGGAGCACTCCTGGTGGAAACACCTTGATCATGCACCTGCTTTTGGAATGGTTGTCTCACAGCAAACATTTACATACCTACCTTTTTTTTTTAAGTGCAGAAAACCCTAACACTACTCAGATGGCTTGGGGCTTTGAGATTGGCTCTTTCCACTTTTTTCTTTTGAAAAGAAAAAATATTTTTTTTTTATTGAAAAAGATGTCCTTACTGCACAAGTGACTACAGGCTACAGGCAAGGATGGGAGACATAGGCTTCAACACAAGTCATTGCACTTAGAACCGTTACTAACCGAAACACCATTTGCTTGTTAACAATGTACCCTTAACAGCAGGGAGAAGCTTCTTTATAGTCTCTGCTTCAGACAAGATTTACATCTTTCTCCAAGGCCGGAGGCCAGTCACGACCACAAGTCTCATTTCTTGCTGACCAGACCCATTCCTCTGGCACCTTGTACCCCTCTTCCCCAGCAATACACTCGGCCTTGGTTCCAGAGGCAGCTGGAAGGAAGCAGCTATGGGCTCATCAAGTTCAGTTTGCCCATATCCAGAAGCCCTAGGAAAGTCCTGTCTGAGTCTTGACTCCTGACCCTTGCAGTGGCTGGAGTCGGTACTGGTGTACACCCCCACTCCCACGATGTGGGTAGTGCTGTGAATTGGAAACCGCAGATACCCTGGAGGCCTGGTAGGCAGCTGACTGCCCAGCAGCGGGCAGACTGATAGTCCGTAAGTCTGATGGCAATGACGACCTAGAGTTCTGAGGAAAGGAGGTGGAACTCAGAGTTCCTGTGCTGGGCTGAGAAACCGAGTCTGAGGTTGGTGAGTCTGAAGTGCCCTGTGGGGTAGGGCTAGCAGCACTCGAAGAACAGCTCCTCCTCGGAAGATTGCTGCCAGTGCTGTTTCCAGAATGCGGCTGGCTGCTATAATACCCTGCAGTCCCCGTAAATGGGGCCAATGAGTCTGTGGACACAGGGTGGGCAGGGCTGGGGTAGGATGTGGACGAGAGGGATGATTCTGAAGAACCATGAGAAGGGGGGTTTCCAGGTCTCAGTGCAGTAGTTCGATAACTGTATCCTGGAGACTGGGTGAGATGTCCTCTAAAAGGGGACGAACTCTGTTGAAGGAGGCTTTGTGATTCTGTCCGTGGACTGTCACACTGCAGAAGCTTCAAAGAGTAGGGAGGAAAGCATAACGAAGTTAACATAGTCCTGCCAACAGTGTGTAGTACTTACAACATTCTACTTTCATGTTATTATTATTTTGGTTTTTTGAGACAGGGTTTTTCAGTGTAGCCCTGGCTGTCCTCAGAATCACAGATCTGCCTTTCTCTGCCTCCCAAATGCTGGGATTAAAGGCGTGTGCCACCCATCATCTGGATATAGCATTCTATTTTTATCCTTTCCATTAAAAAATGGTGTATGTGTATGTATTACCACACTAATGTGGAAGATATAGGACAACCAGAAGGAGTCCATTTTTTCCTTCCAATGTGTGGGTTCTGGGGATTAAACTCAGGTCATCAGGCTTTTACCCACTGAGCCATCTTACTAGCCCCTGAAAAAACATTTTTTTAAAGGACACAACAGCAGTCAAATGGCCGACTCTAATTATCTCATTTGCTTTACTAAGATCCCTGAGGTAAGCAGATGATGGCTGACTTACAGGGCTGCTAGACACCATATGACGTCAGCAGCTGATGATGTATCAAGACTAGGCATACAGCATCTAATAAACTCCACAGGCATCCCTCTCCCTAGAGCTCAGCAGTCTTTTGACTTACCTGGTAGCTGTATCTGGAAGGGCTGTAAACAGTTGCTCCTTTAGAGAGTGCTGAGCTCAACGGCTCTGGGGCTTCTCCATCTGCAGGGTCTGGAATGCATTACAAGAATCAACTGTGGCTTCTCAGAATACATAGGAAATAGGTATCATCCATTCAAATCATATAATGGTATCAACACATGCTGCCCTCTGTGATAAAATGAGCGCAGCATGCCAGGAGGGCAAAGTAAGTGGTTAATTATGCGCTAAATTTTAAATGCCTCATCTTATTCTTGTCTCCTTCTTTCTCTTCATCCTTCATGGAGTTGGAGCTCCGGAACTTTGGAGAGATGAGAGTTACAGAAAAGTATCCCTTGGGAAAAGAGCAGACAGAGAGCAAGCAATGCTAGATCTCGTGAATATTGTAGCTCAGAGAGCAAGACTGAGCTGGAAAGTAGCACAGAGCAGAACTCAAGCATGTCAGAAACGGACTCTCTTATTCTAGCATTTGTTGTGAACTGCAGACCTTGGCTCACCTGACTCTTTCTCTGTGATGTTACTCTCCCATGTGGGAGAGGGCTCTCCCTTTTGGGCCACTCTCACACTGCTTCGGAGAACCTTAGGGATGCTTCCTCCTTCTCGGAGTCGTTCAACTGATGTAGGAACCATCCTGAAAGGTGGTACCAGGGTGTAAGTTTAAGCAATGGGAATTAGGCAAGAGTCTGAATCAAATAACCACAATAAAGATGGTGTAGTAGAATCTCTTTCTCCTTTTTCTTCTTTCTAGACAGGTTTTTTTTCTATATAGTTCTGGCTTTGTATACCAAGCTGGACTTGAATTCAGAGATTTCCCTGCCTCAAAGGTGTGTGCCACCACTGCTGGCCACAGCAGTCTCTTACATGAAATTTTCTCTTCTGTGAAGCTGTGTTCCTGACACATATAGTGTAGTTTAACATAGGATTCTTAGATTAATGAATATAATCTTCCCAAGATCATTTCAAGATCCCCACACACACCTGAGGGTTCTTGGAGCTCACTGGCCAGACTCTGGCTTAGTCAGTGAATTCCAAGTACAATCAGATCCTGTCTCGTAAGACAAAGAGGGAAGTGATAGAGGTAGGCACCCAGTGTTGATCACTGGCCTCCAAATGTACCATGTCAATGTATCCTCCACCCCACCTCTGGAAAAAAAACAACAACAAAAAAAAAAAAAAAAAAAAAAAACAAAGAATGAGTGCTGTACCCCTAGCTCGGGTACTGTGACATACATTTATAATTCTAGTACCCTGGAAGCAAAGGCAGGTGGATCAGAATTCAAGTTCAGTTATGGCTACAGAGTGAGACCCTGCCTCAAAAAATTGCAAAGGGAAACAAAACTAATCTGTATTACTATTTCATCCAATACCCAGAACTTGTCATTACTATTATTTACTTGGATTTCTATGATGTCTCCTAGCTAGCTGCACGGGATAGATTTCTTTTTGAATTAGACCAACTTGGAGTGAGCAAGATAAAGGTGTTTGTAACCAAGTCTAAGATCCAAGTTCAAACTCTAAAACCAACATGGTGGCAAGGAAGAACTGATTCCTGGGAGTGCCCTCTGACCTCCACGTGCACATATGTACACTCTCCTGACCTCCACGTGCACATATGTACACCCTCCTGACCTCCACGTGCACGTATGTACACCCTCCTGACCTGCACATATGTACACCCTCCTGACCTCCACGTGCACATATGTACGCTTTCCTGAGCGCACACACGCACGCGCAACTTGACTGAACTGTTTACTTACCTTTCATATAAATTAAGACAAAGAATTCTCTTAATAAAATGGCTTATGGGTCCCCACAACTACACATTGTCCAGCGAGACTCTACAACATAAGGATGCAGCTTAAGCGAAGTAGTTGAACAGGACAGACAGCAAACTGGCTGCCTATCTCAGTAAGTGCTCCTATACATTTTAGGCAAGGCTGGAAATGACTGGAATAAATACTTCCTACCTGAATTTCATTATATAGCTAATTAGATATAAGCTTACCACCTACTGCTGATGTTCTCTTGAGGTCTGCAATGAGAGGAAGAAGTGCCCCTGGAATCTGATGGGCTTACTGCCTCCGAATGTGATGTAGAGGAATGAGAGGGGGAGAATTTTCTGTGAGGGGATGAGGGGGTTCGGGCTGAGGATCCCTGCACACCATGGGCAGTATTTTCAGAAACAGAGTTACTGCTGCCTTGCCCAGCTCCTGCAGACTTGCTTTTGCTCTGTGAAGAGTCATTTCCCCCTCCAGAATTCTCCTTAGCTTCTTGTTTCCGTTTGCGGTACTCTAGCAAGGATACCTAGATAAGGAAAAAAAAAAAAAAACTATCATTAGTGAGTGGCTTACTGGCAAGAGTAGCAAGCCATGCAAACAAAGCAGGCCCCCAAAACAACAACCTTTATTGCATTTTAAAAACCATCATGTACATCTGTGTATGCTGAATGCAGGTGCCTGAGTTGGAAAACTTGAATTACAGGCAACTGTGAACCACATGATGTGGGTGTTAGAAACTGAACTCAGAACCTCTGGATGAGCAGTATGGGCTCTTAACCACTAGAGGGTCATTCTAGCCCCTCTATAACCAACTTTTTCAGGCAAAAAAGAGATGTCATCACTGCCACAGATTCAAGCCAGTAAGAAACAGGTGAGGGGGAAAATGTCAGTTTTGAAGAACGGTGCTTAAGTAGACTGTATCCTTTGACTTTCTTCAGAGGAACCTGAGAGAATACTATCACCTTGGTCACCTTTCAGTTATGCCCAACAATGGAGGCATCTGTAAGAGTAGGGCAGAAAGCCGGGCATTGGTGGTGCACACCTTTAATCCCAGCACTAGGGAGGCAGAGGCAGGCGGATCTTTGTGAGTTCGAGGCCAGCTTGGTCTACAAGAGCTAGTTCCTGGACAGCCTCCAAAGCCACAGAGAAACCCTGTCTTGAAACCCCCCCAAAAGCACTTATTTCAATGTTCCTCATTACACTCAAATTTTGACACCACATGGATTTGTGACTATTTGTATTATACATAAGGGAATAGAAGTATTTTAAAGGAAGAAGAAATTATTTCATTTATAGACTTCAGCAACCTATCTGTAACCTGGAAACTTTACCCAATTCTCAAACCACCTTCTAATCTTTACCCATTTTTCCCCTTGCTGTCAACAACAGACCCTATTCCTGTCCACCAAGTACTATTGCTTATTGAACCTACTGTAGAATCTTGACTAAGCTATAAATTAAAGTATAAGTTAAATTTACTGGGCTTTTAATTTTTTCCTTTGTGTGTGTATACAAGCATATATAATGATGCATATATAGGGATTAGAGGACAACTTTTCTGATCTAAAGTTGGCTCTTTTTGAGGGAATTAGTCTTATTTCTGCCCTTGGACTTCTGTCTGATTCTTTTATCATTACTTTGCATCTTGCTACAAAGTGCTGAGGCTGGGATTACAGACTTGAGCTACTTAATCTGGCTTTGGTTTAAAAATTAAGTCTTTTTTTTTTTTGAATGAGTGTTTTGCCTGCATGTGTATCTGTGCATCATGTACATGGCTGATGGTGGCAGAGGCCAAAAGAGGGTGTTGGATCCCCAAGACTGGAGTAACAGATCACTGTGAGCCTGTGGGTACTGGGAATTGAGCCTTATTTTCTCAAAGAGCAGCTCTTAACTACCAAGCCACCTCTCCAGTCCCGGCTCTGGCTTTTTAAATGAAGGTTCCAGAGATCAAACTAAACTTTTTTTTTTTTTTTGGTTTTTCGAGATAGGGTTTCTCTGTATTGTTTTGGAGGCTGTCCTGGGAACTCGCTCTGTAGACCAGGCAGGCCTCGAACTCACAGAGATCCACCTGCCTCTGCCTCCCAAGTGCTAGGATTAAAGGCGTGCGCCACCAACGTCCGGCCATTACCTGCTAAACTTACCTTGCTGGCATATATTTTATTTTTGAAAGGAAGAATTGTCTTTCTTTGAAGATAGTTTCATGTTGTCCTACATGGTCTCAAATTCCTGCCTTTACCTCCCAACTGCTTGGATAGATTACAGCCTAGTATTTAGCTTTTCAAGATTTTTATTTTTTTTCTGGGCCAGGATCTATGTGGCCAGGCAGGCCTGGTACTTAGGATTTACATACTTCAGTCTCCCAGGTACTAAGATAACAGAGATGTACGACACCACATATAAGGCAGAGGTAGGCAGAGATGTATGACAACACTTGGGAGGCAGAAGGTAGGTGGATCTCTGTGAGTTTGAGGACAGCCTGGTCTAAAGAGTGAGTTCCAGGACAACTAAAGCAACACAGAGAAACCCTGCCCTGAAAAATCAAAACAAAACAAAAGGCCCCAAAACCAAAACAAAATACCCCCAAACTATTTTATTTACCCATATGTATGTTTATGTGGCTTCAGAGGGAAGAAGGGGATATGGGATGCCTTGGAGTTGAGTTATAGTTGTTTGTGAGATATTCCATGTAAGTGCTATCTATGTTCTAACTAAGGTTCTGTGACAATCAGTAAGTGTTCTTACCTGCTGAGACATCTCTCTAGTAACCCATTCTTTGGCTTTTTATTGCTAACATTCAGTACAAAAATTTGGCATATCACAGGTGCCCAATTTATTTTAGAAATAGTTCTGAAGCAAACTCTAATTACCCATATATGTAACAAATGAAACCAGAAATGCAAAGACATTTGTCATGCTATATGATTTTTTTTCAATAACTTATTTTATTTTATATGCAATGGTGCTTTTGCCTTCAAGTATGTCTGTGTAAGGATGCTGGATTCCCTAGAACTGGAACCACAGTCAGAGAAAGCTGCAATGTGTGTGCTGGGAATGAACCTAGATACTCTAGAAAAGCAGTCAGTCCTCTTTAACCACTGAGTCACCCATCCAGTCCAATGTTATTATGTATTTTGTAAGTCAGTACTGCTGGAGTTAATTTTTTTTTTTTTTTTTTTTTGGTTTTTTGAGACAGGATTTCTCTGTATTGTTTTGGAGGCTGTCCTGGAACTCAACTCTGTAGACCAGGCTGGCCTCGAACTCACAGAGATCCGCCTGCCTCTGCCTCCCGAGTGCTGGGATTAAAGGCGTGCGCCACCAATGCCCGGCTGCTGGAGTTAATATTAAGCAGCTGTATACCACCTAACCCAGAAGTTGGGAACTTAAGTTGAGTCCTCCAGTCTCTGTCATGGAACTCAATCCTCCTGCCTCAGCTTCACAAATGGGAGCTGAGATTATAAATGTGAGCCACATCTGTCTGAGAAAACACATTTGATGATCTTAAAGCTGTGTCCCAAACTGAGTTCTGCAATAACACACCTTTCAGTTTTCTTTCCAGTGTTCTAGCCTTTCAGCTGCACACAACAGCTATTTAAGATTTGCTGTGTTTAAAAAGGCTAGTATGGCTTCAGCTTTGCAATTCCAATTCAACCTCAAGAATGCTAGGGTCATAGCTATTTGCCACTATGCCTAGCTGGATATTATTTTATTTGTATTGAGGATACTGGAGATGGAAGAAGGCCTTACTCATGCTACACAAGTACTCTTCTGATTGCACTTCAATCCTTCTGACTATTCACAACACTTACCAGCTGTACTAATACAGTCTACTTCTCAGGGCCTGAGAGATGCCAACACTGAAGACAACTCAAGTTCAGTTTCAGGGCTCACATGGTTGAAGGAGAGAACTGATTTCCACAAGTCATCTTCTGACTTCCACATATGTACCTTTGGCATGGTCATGCCCCACACATTCCACATAAACCAAAGAAGTAAATGTAATTACATAAAAGATCTACTTTTCACAGATTACAACAGAGAGGCCAGTGTTATGCACTGGACCTTGGAAAGTTCTGAATTATCTGATTAATATCTTTAAAAGAGGCCCCATATAACATGAATACTTACTTTTTTCCTTTGTGGGGGATTCTGAGGAGCAGATGGGACTCCTTCACAGGCCCTTTCACCACCAGGTGACATGGATCCACGAGAAAGATCTTTCATAAAGCCATGTTCATATCTGCTGGAAAAGCCTTCTGCAGGGGAACAATATCCTCCATCTAAATGTAAAGGCTTCCTGTCCCCCACCAAGGGGGACCCTCTATACAGTCCATCTGCTCGAGGCATAGCGTTCAAAGGGGAGTAGGCGTACATCAGGTTGAACTCTGTCCTAAACGCCTGGTCTGAGTTTCTCAACAATGTCTGAGGGCCATCTCCACTCCTGCTTGGGAAGCCAGCCTCTGAGGTTGGAGCAACAGGGGGATGAGAAGCCAGGTCAGGATGACTGCAGTTGAGCATGGAAGGCCTATCAGCACAGCTGTGAGTGCTGGAGTCTGGGTATCCCACTTTTGTCAAATCCAGGTCTTTTCGGTGACAAAGCTGAAAGGATAAAAATCATCAGAGATAGGGGCATGGCAGAAAGGGAAAAGTCAATGTGCAGAAAGGGAAGTAAAGGAACACAGGTGTACAAGCTGAGGGATGGGAGCAGAAGAGAGAGACTCATTAACATGTATAAAGTCCATTAAGAAAACAAAGGGTCAACCCACCAGACTACTGGACAACATGACTACTCTGTCTGCTTGGGTTGCTGGTCAACTGATAGCACACTTGGGGGCTGGCAGTGTAGTCAGGGGCATATCTGAGCCCCAAGCACAACACAGAAAGGTTTTAAATTGCAGGTTTCTAGTAGTATACATTACTAAATTAGTATCAATGGAAGATGGCGAGGGAAGGTGCAGAAAAGTGGAACATAGCTGAAAAGCCAAGCATGTCAATTACTGGTTCAGTAGGAGAGTGGCATTAAAAAGACAGCAACCAACCTGCTCTTCATTAACTTACACCTTGAATTACGTTTCTCAATTATGTCTGCTCAATTCTTCTGTGTCCTCTGCTGTCTACCAATGTATCAAAGGACTGCAATGACTACCATTGAAGAGCACCGGTGATAAAAACCCACCTACTATTGCTATCTCCTAACATCAAGGTTTCCTCCACTAGGTCAACTGCCTACAAAAAGTACCAGAAACCCAAATACAATGTCAAATAGCAAATCCCTGCTCTATAGGACTCTTTAATAATCAAAGTCAGAACAACCTTATTACTTTCCCAACAAGATGGACTCATTACACCAGGAAATCAGCAGTAAACTAATGGAACACAATGTTTTCAGTTTCTTAAAATCCGACTGACTTAGAATTTGGTCAATTCTCAGGGAGTTGGGCCATAATTATTTTAGTGAGTAGTATTAAAGATTAATTTCTAAAAGATACAGAGATTATAACTTTCTCTTTAAGAGGAAAAAAAGCACCATGTAGATTTATAGAAATAATTACTACATTTTCCTAAAGTTTATAGTAAGAGTTAACACTAAAATCTGAATTTAGGATCTTTACAGCAGAAGAGTTTCCAAGAAAAACATTCAAAAGCATGTACTGATAGCCTGAGAGGTATCAATCACTTGTACAGCAACCATATCCCAGCCACTGCAGAACAGAGCCTATAACACAGAGTGTGGACTTAAGGTTTCTTGAATATTTACTACACCCAGTACAGAGCTTCAGAGAAAGTGAAGGAAAGCTGAGGAAAGTTGGATTCTCAAGGAAGCTGCTCAACTATCACCCGAAGCCCAATGCAGAGCTGCCAGTTTAAATCCAATAATACGTTGATAGCATGATGAATACTGAGACAGTGCCTACCAACTCCACTTTCCTTGTTAACAAGCAGACATTATTACTTTCTCTAACAAGGCTTTGATAGCATAGAATCTGTATCCTTTGCAGATTTTCTTCTTTAAAAACTCTTCAGCCACTGCTTCCCCCAAATGACAACTAAACCAACCCCACAACATATACACAGCTACTTAAATTTCCTTCGTCTATTTCTAGTTATACAGAAGATTCACTCTACTTGCTGTGAATGAGTGGCTGTCCTCCAGCCCAGCACCCCACTCATTCAGATTCCCAGCCCTCCCACACATTCAGGACCATGCTCACATACTTATTTTCTCAATCTCCTCCATGTGTGATTGAGATAGTGCGATAACTATCCCCAGGTGACAGGGACTCAGGCCTATGTACAGGGGGACTCTCTGGGGAAGATTTTTCTAGGGGAGGAAAAAGCATCTTGTTATGCATCTACTCCAAGTCGAGAATCAAAACAAAAGAAAGTAAAGGCAAGCATGGGTATTAGCCACAACTATTTTTTGGTGGTGGGGGTAGGTGTGCTTATGAAAGGACAGGAGAAATGTTAACTGTAGAACTCATCTCCATGGACAAAGTGATTTGCTAAATGCTTCCTGGTGTCTTGGAAAGAACTTAAGGAAAGCTAGGTATAATGTTTCATGCTGTAAATAAATACCTTAAGTAGAACTCAAGAAAGAGGTGAAATGTTAAAGCGTTAATTATTTTTAGAGGACTTAGTGTTTCTTATGGGGTGGTGAGAGCACCCTCCCCTTTTTCTTCCTAGAGGAGTTCTGTTCCTTCACTTCATACCTCTTTTTTTTTTCATTATCTTTCTTCATTTTCTTACTAGCTTTAGGCCTATCAGTTATCCAGGAGAATACCTGGGAACTAACATTAAGAGAAAGATGGCCAGTTCATCTTACACTTGAGCATCTCTAGCAGTCAGAACCCACTGTATTTTAGGGGGGACAACAAAACAAAACAAACAACACAACAAACACCACCAAACCCCCCTCCTCTCTCTCACACACCCAAATACCATGTATATATTTGTTCTGTGACCTACATAGAACACACACGATAGGACAGTTAGCTGAGGCAGTACCTCTCTACACATGGGGACTGAAAAGTGAACTCCTGATGGATGATATGAATGGCAACAGGAAAGTAATGATGGCAGCTCTGACAAGGACTTAGGGTACCATGGGCTGGGGTAGGGGGAAGATTCTCAATATACAGACTATCAATGACTGTGGCCCTAATAGCAGACATACGCTATGTCATAATAGGATATATGGAGCTGTTTCAGCAAAACAAGGTTTGGATAGTAAATGTTTTTCAGTGGGGAGGGTGCTAGAGCCTGTGTAAGATAGAGTATAAATCTGTGAGCTCACGAGAAGGGAAAGGCAAGGCTAAGTGGATGTGTTCTCTCAAGTTGCTTTTACTCTTCCTCTACATTCTTTCCCTTCCTGAAGAGCTCATTCTCTTTGACTGTGTACCTCATTCCCTTAGAACTAGGTGTGTCCTGAATGTATGTTTTGCCTCTCCACTTTAAGTTGGATTATATTTGTGACACCTTTTTGATATTTCAAAACAAACAAACTAAACCAAACCAAACAAAAACCCCCCAAAACTTTGAGATTCTACTTTTACTTAATGTGTTTGCCTGCCTGCATGTCTGTGTATCACATGCATGCAGGACCTGGAAGGATCAGAAGAGGGCACTGCATCCCCAGGGAGTTACAGATCTGTGAAGAGCCATGTGGCTGTGCTGGGAATTCAAAACTGGATCTGCTGGAAGAAAAGCCAAAGCTCTTAACTATAGGCATTTTAGCCTGTATTTTATTTTACTTTTTAAACCTTTAACAGAAAGTTTTATTTCAACACTACTTTTCCCAAATAACAATTGTACATTAGAAGAACAATACAGAAGTAAGTCTCATATTGCATCACCTTTCAATATATTATTTCCTTTTTAAACTAATGGTGCCTTCAAACCGCAGGGATTATAGATATATGGCCTAGTCCCAACTCTCTGTGTGACAGTTTCAATGATAAAAGCTTGTAAACCAACCTTTCTGTACTCAAATATAGGAAAGACTGTTGCTCTCAGAATGATGACAAAGATTGGTAGGATGAAGTTGTTTTTGTAATGGTGAGCATGGCGACACTGCCTTATTTAAATAATAACTTTATAATCATGTACCTACCTGAAGTTTTGCTATTTAACATATTTTCTTTCCTTCCTTCCTAATAATATTTTGAATAATTACCTTTTTTTTTCACTTTTTAAAGCACACTATGTATGGGTGCTAAACCTGCATGTATGTTTGTGCACCATATGCCTGTGGAAGGTTGAAGAGGGCATCAGATCCCTGGAACTGGAGTTAGAGGATTGTGAGCTACCATGTGGATGATGGTAATCAAAGCCCAATCCTCGACAAGAGCACCAAGTACTCTTCTTTTTAAAAATTATGTGTGAATGTGTATGTGTCTGTGCATGTTATTGCAAATGCCTGAGGAAGACACAAGAGGGAGTTCCGTCCCTTGGAGTTGGAGTTATAGGTAGTTGTGACCCACCCGATTTGGGTGCTGGCAATGCAACAAGCTCTTGACTGCTGAGCCATGTCTTTAAATTCCATGTTTTCATGTTTAAAACTTTACATTTATTTATTTTATGTCTGTGTGAAGTCAGAGGTTCAACCTGGGAGCTGGTTTTCTACTTACAAGGGCTGAACTCAGATGTCAGGCTTGGCATCAAGTGCCTTTTTTCTTTTGTTTTTCAAGACAGGGTTTCTCTGTATTGTTTTGGAGGCTGTCCTGGAACTCTCTTTGTAGACCAGTCTGGCCTCGAACTCACAGAGATCCACCTGCCTCTGCCTCCCGAGTGCTGGGACTAAAGGCTTGCACCACCAACGCCCGGCTTCAAGTCCCTTTTCTGTTGAGCTAGTCTGCTTTTTGGTATTTTAAAAGCATGCTTAGACTGTATGTTCTCTCTCTTAAAATACCTTGCATTTGCATAGCATTTTATACTTATTAAATGCTTCAAGGGATAGGAAATCTGCTGTGTATAAACTTACTTGTTTTGGAAGACTTCTAGTGTCTATGATTTCATATTAATAATAAAACTTGCTATGATAAGGTGAAACTCTATTCCTGTTCCAGGGACAATTTCACCTTAGGATATCTTACCATAAAATTCTAAATGTTAACAGAAAGTTTAACTGTTAAGCACACAAAGAAAGGTCTGAATTCTGCTTTAATATCTATCTGGTTAAAAAAGAATGAAACAGGAATATAATTTCCCTACGAAAATTAAATGTAACCAGGATGGTATTTTTCCATCCAGAAATGTTTGAACTATAGTAAATGAATACTGGATTGAATTAGAATTAGAGCACACTGTTCTGCTTTCAGTTGCTAGCTCCTTTGTATTAGTATTAGAAAATCCAGGTGTTTTTAATACTTACACTCATAAAAGTTTCAACAAGAGTGTGAACTGTTAGACATGCAGCCTTTTCAAGATGACATCCAGAGACATTAAAGTCAAGACTTTCTAGTGGACTGATCAAGTCATCCCCCACCCCGAATATCTATATAATTAAAGCAACATGTAAAAGCTGAGTTTTTAATACATATGGATTATATTCACATCTTCCACTTGAACTTGAATACTAAAGTGATTGGGTATAACTGTAAGGAACAGCTTAGTATATATACTTCTAATGTAATCCAACTGTTAAAGTATGTTACTACCTCTCAGTCCTAACACATTGTAACAAGGAGGGAAAGTAACCTGGAGTGGGAAAACCAAAACAAAACATCAACAACAAGAATGACAACAAACACATTCACCATAAGCCAAATCCCAAATATTTCTAATTCTCTGTTCCCTGGAGCTACCAAAGAACCTGGGAAATACTTTAGAGGCCTAAACACAGATGTGAGCCCACAGTGTAGTCTGAGTATCCAGGCTTGGGAAACTAATGGTACCACAGGCACATCCCTTTTGACCAATATGATGAAGATCCTGCAAGCTTACTACCTAAAATTAAGCAGACAAGTGAACGGAACCTTGGTAATCCTGTTCCTATTTTGGCAAGAATAAGGGCTGCCAAGACAAGAGGCTACCAGCTACCAGCCCACAGTGACCTTAGGTCGCTGATTTTCTTAATTAAGATGAAGACAGTTAAGAAACATCTGAAATGATATATTTGAAATGAAGGGGTATAAATAATTTCATATCAATCACTCCCAACAACCAAACCCTAATCACCTCAAACTGCAGAGGAGTGTTGGAGCGACTAGCAGTAGTAAGAGATGTGATTGGTGAGAACATGAGGCTGTATCCATTTCGACACTCCTCTTCTCCTGGGTGAGTCTGGCCAGGTGTGGACAGTTGGGGACTCTTTGAGCCTGAGCTGGAAGGGGGTGGTGTAACTGGAGACAGAGGCTGAAGCAACTTGGTGATATTCTGCTCCATCAGATAGCGAGACTTCCATTTCTTTAATGGGCTCAGTAAGTCTGTGAAACACAAAGCTTGGATGAGAGCCGAATCATATCTTACTGTAAGGCTAAGTAGCAAAGGCACCGACCTCTAACCTGCAATGGGTCCTAACTCTTCTTGTGACTCATCCCATTAAATGATTTCCTCTACTCAAGCCCCATACCTAAGCATACTTCCAATCACTACTTCCCATGTCCCAGAGAAATTCCACATGAAACTAAACAATTTTAACAATCAATGCCAAGATGATTGCTTAAACCACTCTCTACTTCTATACTACCACCTGCTAGGTTATCATACCCATGTTCATCTTTTCTTATTTATCTGTGTACTTTTCCAGCAGCTCTTTCAGCAAACACTCTTAAGTAGGACACACACATATTCTTGGATCCTTATCTAGCTCCTCGTGTTCAAATGCTGAACACTAAGAGCTAGAAAAATTCTCAATTATTAAAAAAAACCACAAGACTCCTTATGATTAGACTAACTGTATTCTTAGGTCCACTTAGAAAAGCAAGTTACTATATTAAGTATTTTAGTGACTGTGGTTTGTGTTTGATGTAGTGTAGTTACTTGTTTTTGAGAGGACCTTCAGGACAAAACATATCTCAGAGGGAAAATGTACTTTTATGTACTTATAGCTAAAAGATCATTTATTTAGTTAGTATGTACTACATGCAAAGTTAGATGTATAAGGGCCATTATACATTTATTCTGTTTTCAAAGAGCTTAGAGAAAACATGTAAAATATGTTTAACCTAAGTTTATTGTCAGTATGATCAAGCTGAACAGTAACCCCACCACTTTTGAAGCAGAGACAGGACTGCCTCAAATTTTAGGTCAGCCTAGTCTACACAGCAAATTCTAGGCCAGCCTGGGATACAAAATGAGCCTTTGAGATGATCTGACAAGAAAAGGTGCTTTGGGGTTCAATCCCAGGAGCCCACATAAAGGTGGAGAAAATCGACTCCCAAAAGTTCTCTTCTGAACTCTACATGCATACCATGGCCCCTCAGTAACGATGAAAATTAAAGCAAATAAATGTACACTTAAACACCCTTCAAAGTGGGTAAAGTCAGATACAGTGTCAAAGGACTATAGTCCTAGTTACTCAGGTGGCTGAAGTAGAAAGACTGCTTGAGTCCAACAGTTGAAAGCTAGCCTAGGCCTGAGCAGCACTATGGATTCCATTTCTCAGAAAACAAAAGAACATCATTATTTAAGTGGTTTCTTTTTTTTGTATACCAGGCATTGTATGGTATGCTTGACACGAGAATTTAAGATGTCTATAAACCTAGCATTACTGCTATTATCATCACCCTGTATTAAAGATGAAGACTTTGAGGTACCAAAAGAAAGACTAGGCATTACAGCACCTGTCAATGTTTCCCTACCCCCATATGGTGCTGAAGATTAAATAGTTTGGATCATGATCAGAGATGTGCTTAGGAAGATTTCTCTGGTGATAATGGAACTCGAACAGCAAAACCACTGTATCACAGGGCATGTGATACAAAGAGGTATGAGGCACTGATTATGTTTAAATAGACTCACTGTTCGGCTTTTTCAGGATTTTCATTTCCCTACACTGAAAGAGTACTTTTTCAATCAGTCTATATAGCATGTTATTTTAGCCTTCTTTTTTTTTTGTTGTTGTTAAGATTTATTTATGACACATGCCTACATGCCAGAAGAGGGCACCAGATTGAATTGTAGATGGTTGTGAGCCACCATGTGGTTGCTGGGAATTGAACTCAGGACCCCTGGAAGAGCAATCAGTGCTCTTAACCTTTGAGCCATCTCTCCAGCCCCTATTTTAGCCTTCTTAACGTGCTTAGATACAAACAAACAAACCAACATGTAATGCAAGACTAATCTACACAGTAACTTTTAAACACTTCTAAAGACTTCAAATCCAATCTTTAAGAGCTCTTTGAGAGTTCGATGACACATTTTGTTGTGAAGATCATTGTAGGGAAACAGGGTGGAACTGCTATAAAATGAATGAATGAACTATCTACTTTTTTCCTTTTGATTTCTCGAGACAGAGTTTTTCTGTGTAGCTTTGTAGACCAGGCTGGCCTTGAACTCACAGAGATCTGCCTGCCTCTGCCTCCCCAGTGCTGGGATTAAAGGATCTATTTGTAATGACATCCACTGAACACTTAGGATGCTATACTCAATAGACCTAATGACTGCTGGAATGATAGGTCAGTAGTCTTTGCCCTGTTTTTCTATTTCTTTATGTATACCGTTGTCAAATTCTCTCTCTTCTCTCTCCCTCCTCCTCACACACACACACATTTTGATAAACCTTGACTAAATACTTCCTAAGATTATGTAAACAAACATTCGTGCATTTAAGCCCACACATGTAAGTTAAAATGATTTCCCTGATACTGAAAAAAATTTTGAGAGTCTCGTTCTTTGAGGGTAGTATGGGGTTTTTGAAATAGGGTCTTATTTTGAACTGACCTTGAAATGGCCATGTAGTTCAGGCTGACTTTAAACTAGCATCCATCTCCTGTCTTCCAAAATCTGGAAATACAGGTATGTGCTACCATGTCTGATTTATGAATACCTTTTAAAAATGGGTATGTGACATCAACAGTGCCAAAATTTAACCAGTGCTGTTATTTTCCTTTAATGCAATTATAAGTGTACTCTAATGATTAAAAAAAATGTTTTCCCCTACTTATTTCTGTACTTGTTTTGTTATTTGTTAGGATATAGGACTTTTGTTGTTGTTTAAAAAGAATGACTATGGGCCTGGGAGCTATGCAAGCTTGAGAATGTGAGTTTGAATCCCCAAAACTAATATTAAAAACCAGATATAGTGGCACTCTTGCCAGTAACCTAGTATGGGAGGTGGAGGTGGACCAGACTACTGGGGCTTCCGGGTCACCAGCCTACCTGTAGGTTCAGTGAGGTGATGTTTCAAAGGAACAGTATGAAGAACTATAGAACAGGACAGCTAACTGCCTCCTCTGGTCTTCATGCATGAGCACTCACACATTTACATATGCTTACTAACTTTCTATTTATGTGTAAATTATCTGCCCATGTTCAGCTTACATTATATCAGTATGCTGATCTTTTCCTTGTTTTATAAGAGTTCTATAAATAAAGAAGTTGACTGTCAAAAATGTTACAAATACGCTTTTTCAGTTTATTTGCTTTTAAAATGTATTTACTGGGGCTGTAGAGATGGTAGTGGTTAAGAGCACTGGCTACTTTTGCAGAGGAACCAGGTTCAGTTACCTACATGGCAGCTCATAGACATCTATAGCTCCAATTTCAGAGGATCTAATGCCCTCTCTGAACTCCATGGGCACCAAGGACTTATGTAGTGCATGTACATGATATGTATAGGCAAAAAACTAAACACACACAAAAAACAACCTAAAAGTTTCTATTGCTTTTGTAACAATGCTTTTATTAGCTAAATGTATCTACTATGCCTTCGCAATTCTAAACCCCTGAACTATGAAAATGCCATCCATTGGCCCACCACCTATTTTGTTTTAAGAAAATATTTTATTTCATGTGCATGTGTAAATGTGTATGGATGCATGTATGCTATGTTGTGCATGTGGAAGTCAAAAGACAACTTGGGGAGTTGATTCTCTCTTTCACCACGTGTGTCTCAGGGACTGAGCCCAAGTTGTCAGCCTTAGTAGCATGCATGCCTCCATTTTTTTTTAAAGGTCTAACAATATATAGCCCAGCAGTCTGTAACTCAATATGTTTATGGGTGTGTTTGAGAACAGATCTCTCACTGTGGCCCATCATTTAGTTCAGGCTGAGATGGAACTTACAGTTGGCAATTTTCCTGCCAGAAACTCCTAAGTGTTGGGATTATAGGTGTGAAGCACCACACTACCTTGTTTTGAGGGTTCAACTGTGGGACATCGACACATACTACGTAAGCACTCTTACCATTTTAGCTATATCCCTGCCCAAATTTATATTTAAGAGGAAAAAATGCGCATTTGTACTACACATGTGTGGAGGCCAGAGGCAACTTTTGCAATCTGCTCTCTCCTTTCACCTTGTTGAAGCAGTGCCTCTATAACCCAGCACACTCCAGGCTCACCGTCCTATGCTCTTCTGGCTTGTCTCCACCTCACCTCATTACAGCAGTGCTGGGCTTAGAGGTGCATCTCATTCATCCTGCTTTTTACAAGGTTCTGGAATCTGAATTTGTGTCCTCAGACTTGTGCAGCAGGCAATTTTACTCACTTAGCCAACCCCTTGATACCCTATAAAACTCTTAAGGAAGAAGTACTTATAATTAAATTTAGGGAGCTGGTTTCCACTCCACCTTTCCTGTAGGTAAAAGGTTACTATCATTTTTCCCCTCTTTGCAAATCTTTTGTAATTGAAAAATAACTATAATCTTTCTTCACTGAATTAAAAAAACACATTTATTTCTATTAGACTAGTACTTTTAATACATATTTGTGGCCATTGTATATTTCTGGCAAGTACCTTACCACTAAGCCTCACTGCTCCCTTAGCTTATTTCTACTGGCTTTTAAATATACTGATCTTGTTTCTGAAAGTTATTCTATTTTCTGTAAAATGTGGAATTGATATTAACATACATTTCTCCACACCTTTTTTGAGACAGGGTCATGTAATGTAGAGGATGACCTCAAACTTAGGATTTTCCTTTCTCAAACTCTCCAGTGCTAGGATTCTAAGCACAAACCATATTTAGCAATACTGATATTCTTGGAAATACTAGCAAAATATTGCTATTGAATATTTAAGGAGTTAAGTAAATATAATTCAGAAGTGATACTATGCTTTTCTTGTGGTGTTATATCGGTTTGATAAACCAACCAAGGACAATCTATTTTAAAAATTGTGGCACCAGCCGGGCGGTGGTGGCGCACGCCTTTAATCCCAGCACTCGGGAGGCAGAGGCAGGCAGATCTCTGTGAGTTCGAGGCCGGGCTGGACCGACAGCCTCCAAAACAATACAGAGAAACCCTGATTCGTAAAAACTAAAAAAAATAAAAAAAATAAAAATAAAATAAAATAAATTGTGGCACCAGAGATCAAACCAAAGGCTTTTCTCATGCTAGGCAAGTAATACCACTTGGCAACAACCTCAAACCAAGAATAAAAATTAAAATGGCCCATGAAAAGGGCTCAGAAAGTAAATGTCAATAATAGTATACATTATTTCATTAAGATAATTTAGGTGAGCACAGATCAAATGACAAATTCTATTACTCTTTTATCAGTAGGAGTTTGGGCTTTTAAAATTTTTGTCTATGTAATTTTGTAACTATTAGAAATTATGAGTATTTTTGTACATAAATATTTGCTTGTCTACATCTTTACATAGTACCTGAAACAACTAGTGAGTTTAGGATTACAAATATTTTAAAGCATATGATAATTCTGAACAGACTGTTTTTTGTTTGTTTGGAGACAGAAATTCTCTGTGTGGCCCTGGCTGTCCTAAAACTCACACTGTAAACCAGGCTGCCCTTGACCGCCTGCTTCTGCAACCACTACCTGGCTCTTAACAGACTGTTAGTTGGAGTACTGTTCTATCATTTTTTGTTTGTTTGTTTTACGAGACAGGGTTTATCTCTATTGTTTTGGAGGCTGTTGGTCCAGCCCGGCCTCGAACTCACAGAGATCCGTCTGCCTCTGCCTCCCAAGTGCTGGAATTAAAAGCGTGCGCCACCACTGGCCGGCCTGTTCTATCATTTTTACTGAATATCTTTTTATTACTATGTTAACTCAAAGATAGCATGACCACAGAAACAAGTGTTAATACTATTTGAATTAGCGTATTGGGTGTGGTGGTACATACCTCTCCCTAGCACTTAGGACACTAAGGCAGAAGATGGCAAACTTGAGGCTAGCCAGGATTACCTAGTGAGACCTTGTCTCAAAAAAAAATAAACTCAAACAAATCAAAACCAACCAAAACACAAAGAACCCAAAAATAGTAAGAAAACATTTAAATACACTTAGAATTTGCACTGGCAAAGGATCCAATAATTTTACAATCTCTCAAGTAGATGAAAACTCCAAAGTAATTTACCACATCTATTTCACAGCCTAGTCTAGTTGTCCTGTTCCATATTCTCATTTGCTCTTGCACATGAGCTATGATACAGTCGTTAGTGACACAGGGAAGCTAATTGTGTATTTTCAAAGTACCTGATTACTACCTTTTCAAATTTTATTTGAAGTTTTAGATAAACTTAGAATCCTTGGAATCTACTGGTGTAATAAGAATATGAAAACACAGCATTTATTCTTTCCATTAGTGAATATGAAATTTCCTTTATGCTCAAACTTAAATCAAACTTAAAAAGTATTTCTCAATAATGGTTTGCATCATATATCCAAGTATGACCATTCCCAGGTTGTTTCTTAGTTTTGTTAAGTTTGAGGAGGAAAACCCTGTCTTCATATTTAAGTGGTATTTACTTTTTTGTTTTGTTTTTTCAAGACACAGTTTCTCCGTATTGTTTTGGAGACTGTCCTGGAACTCACTCGGTTGACTAGGCTGGCCTCGAACTCACAGAGATCTGCCTGCCTCTGTTTCCAAGTGCTGGGATTAAAGGCGTGCACCACCAATGCCCGGCTGGTATTTACTTCTAATCAAAGATTTACTCAACTGTTATTCCTATGTCAATGGTAATATTTCTTATTTTTATACAATTTTAGCTTTAAGCATCCCTTGACTTTTCCTTACTATTTCCTTACAGGTTGTCCTCAAAAACCAGATTTCCTTACCAGTTTTGATTACTGGGATTATATATTAGGCACAACTACATACAGTAGAGGAATTTTTTTTATTTTTAATCTATGTAGTTCATATTTGACAGGAAAGAATATTCTGTGAAGAATGACAGCAGCAGTTTCTACTATGGGTCTGACATTACACCAAGCACTTTATACATTATATAGTATTCAGTTTCTCATAAAGCAGGCATTGCTAGTCTCATTTTACAAATGATGTACATTTAGCACATCACACAGTTTTAAGGATAGAGAGCCAGTCCTCAAAAGAAGATCTATTTGATTTCTTTCTACTGTCTTCATACACTTTCCTCAGTATTCTTGTAAACAAAACACAACAAAATAATTCCTCATGGTTCACACCACATTTTAGTAGTAACAATGGATTGATTTCTTTATGTAATGCTTTTCTTCTATTATACTGATCCTTAAGGGCACGGTGTGATCTGAGAATGTTTCTCATTGCTTGCTTGAATAGAGGGTAGAAATGCAATCAAGGCTGGTGACTAACAGTGCTAATTCAATTCCATTGAGGACATGCAGCAACAAAGACAATTTCTAAGTATGTGAAAACCAGGAAATGAACTGCTATATAGTCTATTTTCCAAGACTAACTATATACCTACACAACACACCCACCAGATAGGAGTCACTCTAACATAAAAACTGCCTAAAAGTTGACATAATTGAGGGACATCTGCCTCAAAAATTTTGTTTATTCAAAACGGAATCTGTTTCAGTAGATGAAGATTAAAATCTACATGGATGTAGAATTTTAATATAATTACTAGTAAAATTCTTTTAATTAAATTCAACTTTATAATAATCACCCAGCAAGTCTACAAAAATAAAGCAACCCTCCACAAAAAACCCAAAACAAAAACACCCCCAAACAATACAAAACAAAACCCCAAAGTATTATGTTAGCTGTAGCCTTAACATGAGTTTTAGTAAACTAGGGTCATGCTATGTACCCCAGGCTGGCCTTGAACTTGCAGCAATCCTCATCTTATTTTGCCTCCCAAATGGTGGGTGTTATCACCACACTTGGCTATGTTATGTCTATATAATATTCAGAAAACTGATTTAGAGGTAAGCTTATGGAAATCACAGAGAATGGTTTATTTTATTTATTTCTTTGTCTGGGTCAGGGACTGAAACAGTGGCACCACAAAAGTTAAAAGTACATGTTTTGCCACACCCTCTCACCCCAAGGATCTACTAATTATGCTAATATTGCATAATTTTGAGAAAAAGGAGAAAGTTAATTAACAAAACAAAACAAAAACCCCCAAAGCTTGGCAGTGTGTGAAGATTGTGTCACAAGGGATGGTGGTATACATTTGAATATGAGTACCAGGGAGGGTGAGATTGATACCAGCCTGCACTAAACAGAATAAAAGGGTAGCATAAGTCAATCACCAATGCTTTCACAGGTAGAAGCCTACAATAAAACACTGTGAAGGATAATAGATCAGATCATTTTTTCCATAGTCATCTGGCTCATGAGGATTTAAATAAAAGCCATGTCATCTAAGGAGTTTTATAGTTCTTGGGGGCAAGTCCTTTAAAAAAAAAGTCAATAATGATTCTTCATAATGTCATTATTTCCTGCCCCTTTAGCTAAATCCCACCCAACAAGTCACATAACATTTCCATTTTTTCCCTGAATATTAGTGTTCCACCACTTTGTACTGCCTCCCCTTATAAAATACAAATAAAGAGTTCCTAAACTTACTACTTTAAACGTATCTAACCTTTTTTATAACCATTTCTGTTGTTATCTGTACACTGTCTAGTTCCTTCTTTGTCGTCCTGGGAAAACTGATCCCTGACTCGAGATCTTTCTCTTCCTCTGTAAAGACAGATGTAAAGTAACTATTTAGAGAACACACTATTTCTTTTTATATCAGAGTACCAACACTGAAATTTTTACTGTGAACCTCAAATGATGGCTATTCATGTCAAATTTAGAAAAAGATCAGATACATACCTGCATTGTCTTTACAGATACTAGAAGAATTACTATTCTCATTACTTTGGTATAGGTGCTGTGTTCTAGTCTCTTGGGGCACAGATGATGTCTGAGTCATCCCTTCTTCCAAGGCTTGCTTTATCCAGCGCTATAATGGGGGGGGGGGAACCCAGAGAATTAAAAAAAACTGTTTAAAACTATTTAGAACATATATTTTCAGTGCACTAAACAGATCACTACACACTAACTGATGAGAAATATAATACAAATACATGCACAAGGCTTTATGGTCAAGTGGTTCAGGACAAGGCTGGCTTTTGCTGTTCTTTTCTTTCTGTTTAATGAAGATCATTCTTGAAATAATCTCATGCAGCCTAGGCTGGCCTCAAACTTGTTAAACATGAACTTGAATTTATGATCCTCTGCTTGACCTTCCAAGCTAGAATTTCAGGCTTCTACCACTATACCATGTTTATGTGGTAGTAGGGACTGAGCCAAGGGAAGCATTCTACCAGCCAAGTTACATTCTCAGTCCTCACAGTCAAGTCAGTTTTCTTCTACTAAGCAAAACTGAAACAGTCTGAATTATATAATGTGATCCTATCAACCAACAAAAACTTAGGACAGCATTACTGTTTAAAGATAGATCGACACTTGAAAAGATATACTCTTTAGTGATAATGTGTGTATGAGCTTCTTCCCCATCATAGTTTATAGGTTCTGAAGAAATCAAAAGTAGAATGTTTATAAAGAACCCTCCAGTCACTTTTTTTTAGTGGCTAATATGCAATCTGAATGGATGAGGAAAAAGAAAGGCCAGAAGAAAACTTGCAAAAGGTATGAGGTAAAACTATGTATCCTGTGGAAAAGGAATTTTTAAAGATACACAGTTGTAAGCGGTTCACCATTCTGTGGTTCTCCTGCCCGGACATAAGAAAGATTCAATTTCAAAAAGCATCAATTTCAGCCAGACTATCTCCGAATAGGAAAAGGCTAACTATTATAATTTTACACCTTTAGAGAATATATGATACAGTAAATAAATACCCTCTTCAACAGAATAGTTCTGGAAGATCTGTGGTGGCTAGATTCTTAGAATGTAAGACAACCCAGGGAAAAATCCTGTCACATATCTTTGATGTTTATCAAATTGAAAAAACAGTAAACAGAGATGAGTGAATGGGTATATTAAAAAAAACATATCCCAGGATCACTTGAATCACATTAATATTCTAGGGCATGAAAAGGTATCTGAAAAGCCAAGATCAAGAGTGACATGCTCTTGTACAGAGTCCCAAAACACAGGCTATCAGAAGCACAGTTCCTTAGAATGCAGAGGAGACCTCTGAAGTCATCTTGATCTTTTCTTTCTTCATAGATGGGAGAAAACTAGCCTGGGAATACAAGTAAAAAATCCTTCTTTATAAATATACAAGTTTTTATTTACATTATATACAAATTACTTCAAATTAATTTTTCCGTACAAAGCAAATGACAAGAACTCAAATTTGAGATCTCTATACTCCCCATAATTAAAGAAAAAAAGGGCATTAGAAAATAATTTCAGAGCCGGGCAGTGGTGGCTGGTCTCCAACTCACAGAGATCCGCCTGCCTCTGCCTCCCGAGTGCTGGGATTAAAGTTGTGCGCCACCAACGCCCGAATGAGGTTGTGTGTGCCAGTTACCTATTTTTTTTCTGTCTTTTTTGTTATCTCCCCCCCCCCCGAGCTGACGACTGACAGGATTTTGTGCTTGCTAGGCAGCTCTACCACTGAGCTAAACCCCCAACCCCTCCACTGGGTTATTAAACTGGTGAAATGAGATAAAAAATGCAAAGAAACCTAGTAGCATAATACTGGAAATATGCCAAATTTTCAACTTCTCTTTTCAATGTGATTCAAGTGACTGGATTTTTTTTTAATGCACTTATCTCTTCTTGCCTCCTCTCTGAATTTCAACAATATGTTTATGTTTAAAGGAACAGATTATCAACCCTTCGAGGGCATACAATAAAACAACAATGTAAAACATAATTTCTAAAGAGTCCAGGAGACCAAATATCCTTTATATATGTGCAGATGACTTAATGTAGAACAAAGATTGGCAATGATGTTAAGAAAACAAAGAATTAAAAAAAAGACATTAATTTATTTTGGGGGGGAACTGGACTTAACTGAATTTAGACATTCCCAGGACATTAATAAATGTTCTCACAAATGAACACTCTGGGTACAAACACACTACTTTTAACTTAGGAGATCTATTGACTTGGGTCTATGAGTAAAAATACACACTGTTCTATGTGTTGGAGATGGCTCAGTGGTTTAGAGCACATGTTGCTTTTGCAGAGAACCTGGGTTTGTTTCCCAATACTCATACAGAGGTTTAAAACCACCTGTAACTCCAATTCAAGGTGATCCAATACCTTCTGGCCTCCAAATGTACCAGGCAGGCATGCATACAGTACACTTACATACATGTAGGGAAAACATTTGTACACAAGAAAAAGCAGACTTCTATTTTTAGCTTAAAAAACATAGTTTAGGGGCTGGAGAGACGGCTCAGTGGTTAAGAGCACTAACTGCTCTTCCAGAGATCCTGAGTTCAATTCCCAGCAACTATACGATGGCTCCCAATGACCCGTAATGAAATCTGGTACCCTCTTCTGGCATTCAGGGACACATACAGGCGTAACATTTTGTGCATGTGTTAATGAAATTTTTAAAAAGTTTACCTGTTCAGGAAAAGTTGGATGCTGCATAATATAGTCTGGATTAAAGAATTTAAAGCGGTGATTTAAACTGAATTCCAATGCAGACTTAGGTGTTTTAGGAAGAAAGGAGAGTAAGATGATTGTATGATTCTTCTGCTTTTCATCTCTCTCAAGAGCTATGATGATAAATCTGTACCACCAACACTTCCAGTTTATGATAGACGCCCACCACCTTTGTGAATGCTATGCAAACTCCCTTCCAACAGCTACATCACTGGCCAGAACAAATAATTAAAACTCAATTTTAATGAAGCAGCCTTGCTATGATAGTCTCTTTATGAATAGTGATATGGGGCTGGAGTTACAACTTGGTGGTAAAGTGCTTATCTAGCATGTAGAAGAATCATGGTAGAATACCTACCTAATCTTGCTTTAAAACCAAAACCAAACCAAGCCAAACCAAAAAAACAGGTATCAATGTTAAAACCAAGCTACTGGAAAAATATGCCGAATTTTCAAGTCTGTGATTCAAGTGACTGGATTTTTAAAAAATATACTCATTCACTTATCTCTTCTTGCCCCCCTCTCCAAATTTCAACAATATGTTCATGCCTTTAATGCCAGCAGTCAAGAGGCAGATACAGGCAGATCTTCCTGAGTTCGAAATGAGCCTGTTCTACATAGAATTCCAGGACAGCCAAGATTATTGTGACACTGGCTTTAAAAGTAAATAAACAAAATTCTAAACACAGCCAGATAAAAGGAGCTCAAAGATGGCTGGTGAGAAGGTTCAGTGGGTAAAAATGCCTGATTACCTGAATTATCCCCCCAGCAACAAAACAACAAAAAATAGGAGATCAAACAAATGAATTTTCTAATGATCATGTCATAGTTTTAAACACTTTTTCTTGTTTGCTTGGGTCTCATTGAAAAACCAAGATGCAAACAAGATTGCAATCCCGCATAGTAATTCCCAAGAAGGCACTTCAAAAGTTTATCTACATTATTTATAACAATCTTTATATTAATCACTACTAAAAACCTTCGGTAAAAACCATACTTTTTTTCTATGTGACTGTTTTGCTTAAATGTACATATGTGTGTTTGCTGCATGCAGGCCAGAAGAGGGAATTAAAATCTCCTGAAACTGGGGTAACAGACACTTGTGGACTAACACATGGGTGCTGAGTATAAAACCAAGTCTTCTACAAGAACAACAAGTGCTCTTAACTGCTGAGCCATCTCTTCAAAGACCCCATCAACTCTGCTTAAACACTAGAATAGATTTTTTTTACTGCCTGTCTCAATGAAAATGCTTTAAAGACTATATCTATATCCTAATGTCCTTTTTTAAAAAGTTGCTTTTCTTAGCATATACTAAATATATATAACAGGTCTTGTGAGTTTTCCATATATACACATAGCATATTTTGAACATGCCCTTTCCATTCTTTCTTATTCCATCCCACTCTTGCTGATCTTCCCTTTCTATAACCAACATAACTCCTATTTTCTTATTTATTTATATTTTTATTTAATAAAGGTTTTAAGAGCAGAGTTTCAAATTAGGGTGGTTTATAGGAGCAACTTGTTAATGCCTATTACCACTGAAGAAACCTTCCCACCCCTGCCATTAACTGAGTTATACATCCTTAAGAGACAGGGTCTTTCTTTTCTAATTTTCAATACTCCTCATGAAAGCTGCTAAGATTCTGCTGTTCCTTAAAACAAAAATGTTAAAACAGGGAGGTGGCAGTGAGTGCTTTTAATCCCAGCACTCAGGAGGCAGAGGTAGTCAGAGCTGAGTTTGGGGCAAGTCTGGTCTACAGAGCAAGTTCCAGGACAGTCTGAGCTGTTACACAGAGAAAGCCTATCTTGAAAAACCAAACAGTGAAAATTAAAAAAGAAATTCATTATATTATTGTGTGTATGGGTGCAGATTTCATGTCTATGTGGATGTTAGAGGACAATGTTGTAGAATAGTTTTCTCCTTCCACTGTTACACGGTTTCTGGGGGTTACTAAGCTTGTGTGCAAGTGTTTTCCCTCTTAGCTATCACTCTTAATGAAGAATTGAGCAATGTAGGCAGACTGGGTCTGTTTTGTCATTCTATACTTAGGAGTTGTATAATCAGTAAATCCTGCTTTATTTTTTGCTGCTTGTGTTTTTTTTTTTTCTTTTCTTCCTTTTTTTTGGAGACAAGATTTTGCTATGCAGCTCAGATTGACAATACAATAACCTTGTTCCAGCCTTCTGAATGATGGAACAATAGGCAAGCACTACCACAGCTAGTGATCGCTGATTTGTACAACAAACCATTTTCCTTTTCAGACAATCCCTTCAAGATCCAAGACAAGTTAGTTGATCTAAGTGACGTGGTAAAAGTCAATTCTCTATAGACCCAACAATCCTTTATTATCTAGACAAAACTCCTATAGTAAAGTTTTTCAAAAACTGTTGCCATTTATGACACCAAGTTACTTATGTTATTGTATCATGCAAAATCCCTTTAAGAAGGATCTTGTGGGGCTGGAGAGATGGCTCAGAAGTTAAGAGCACTGGCTGTTCTTCCAGAGGTGCTGAGTTCAATTCCCAGCAACCACATGGTGGCTCACAACTATCTGTAATGAGATCTGGTGTCCTCTTCTGACCTGCAGGGATACATGCAGACAGAACACTGTATACATAATAAATAAACATTAAAAAAAAAAGGGATCCTGTGATCAAATCTCTCAGAATTTCTTCTACGTGGAAGTTTTTCCCACACAAAGCAAGTGACTGCAACACTTATGTAGGATGTATCATTGATGCTTCTGCAGCTTGTGCTACTGACTCATTAACACTGCCTTTCCTTTATGTAGACTCCCGCTGCACTCCTTGCTTCCATCTCATGCTACATTGGCTATTCCTTCATATCCTTGACCCCCAAGAAATGACTTATGTTCTTGGGGAGAGAGAAAAATCTTTAAGTGTGGAGGAACTAGGGAGGACATGCCTGGAGTTGGAGACTTCATCACATCAAATAAAGCTACATACAGCATCCTCATGTATGTGATGCCAGTGGAGAAGGGCAATGGCAGACACTGAAGGAGGAAGTTTGAATCCAGATCTGAGGATTAGAGAAAAGGGTATTCCAGGGAATAGAACTCTACACCTAAAGGAGGAGCTAATGAAGTGTGTCCTCTGCTTCTGAAAAGCATTATAGCATGTTCCATATACCCTAGAGAACAAAAAGTCTAACCCATTGTTAACTAATCAACTAACAGGAATTATGTCAATTATGAGATAATTTTTCCTGTATACTCCTTCAAGAAGTAATAGTGATTGACTGATTAGTTATAACCACAATACTGTTTATTTTTATGGAAACAACAGTGCTCTAAGTATTTAGGGCCCAATATCACACAATAATCACAAATGGCCATATTAACCAGTACCACAAAACCATTTACAAAATATACCCCCTTCCATCAACTGCCTTGTGTTCTCACTCAGTAACCTGAAAAACTTCCAGGTGAGACAATATCGAAGCCATAATTTGAGTACCAAAAATGCAGCATGCATTCCAAACCTTAATCATCATGGCTCCTGATACATCAATGTTCATGTCTAACAACTAACACAGTAAAACTCACATAGTTATCTAGAGAATTCATGAACATCTAGACACTAACATAAAACATGTTATATGCCACAGTTATATGCATCCAATAGTGCTAAAACACATTTTCATTCACAGGAAGATGTGCATGGGCACACATATACAAACACCTACCTTCTTACAGGAGCTGAATGTGCCATCAGGCAGAAGGGGCCTTCGACGCCTCTCAGGCATAAAGGGTGAGCCAAAGCGAATGTAGTGTTTGGGGGTGGTACAAATTAACGGGGAATGAATAAGACCCGGTAGCATGTTCAATGTTGTTGCCAATACAGTTGGGTCGGTGGTGATACGTAAAGGACACTCAACAGGACATTCTTGCTTCTCTGCTTTGTCATTCAACCATTCTGTAACTAGATACTGAGGTTAAAAAACTATCATTAGTTAACAATGCATGTAACAGCTATCAAAAGCAGTAGTGTAGTTCACAAAGACAACCCTCATTTAAAACTAGAACACACATGCAGCAACCATAGCGAGGATATAGGATATCTTTCCTTTACCCTCTCTGTGCTCACAAAAGATCACTTTCAGTTACCAGTGATTTAAGTTTTGTCTAAAATCAAGTGAACAAAAGTAGATGGTTTCAGCTTTCAGTATAAATAACTTTTATCTAGAACATTCAATCTAATAATTCCAAAATCATTTCTTTTTTGGGGACTATAAAATGTCTTATTTTACTAAGACACTCCTTGCTAGACTAGATTTACATAGTCACTTACCTTTTTGGTTTTGGGGTATTTAGATGCAGTACGGATGACATGTGATCCAGTAGCTGATACAACAGTTGGGTCAGACCCCGTTAATTGTCTGTTCTCTCCTGAACTGTCTATATTTCCAGCTTCAGGAGGAGTTACTGAGTTGTTACTTCCTCCCTCATCCAAGGCAGCTTGTGAGAGCTCTGCCTGTTGTGCAATGGCCTGCTTCTGGCGTTTTAGTCTTTGGGCTGAACTGGTCCGGTACCGAGAAATTCGACTCTTCGGTCTGGGTCTAGAAGGCTTAGCTGGAGGCGGTTTGGGGATTGGTTTTTCTGCAGCTACATCCTGTAATAAACAATATCAGGGCCAAATTTTACTAGAAATTTCTCTTTTCTTTTGCAGACAGAATCTCCCAGGTTGGCCTCTAGCTTACAATCCTCTTGCCTTAGATTCACGAGTGATGGGATTAGACAAGCCACCTCTCACCCAGCATCAGAAATTTCATACCTGTGTCTTATTTAGTTTATCTATTGAAAGCATTCTAAATGACAATAATGGTGAAAAATTATTTACTGTCATTTTAAATGTAATCTTTGGGGCTGGAAAGATGAATCAGCAATTAAGAGGTCTTTGCTCTTGCAGCAAAGACACGGTTCAGTTCCTAGCACCCACACAGTTCACAACCTCTTCTAACTCCAGTTTTAAGATGCTATCTTCTGGCCTCTGTGGACACCTGGCACACACACGTGCACATACATACATGTAATAATTCACACATAAAAATAAAAAAATCGGAACTGGGCATGGTGTCACCTATCTTTAATCTCAGCACTTAGGAGGCAGAAGCAGACAGATCTCTCTGAATTTGAAGCCAGTCTAGTCCACAAAGCAAGTCTCAGGCCAGCCAGGGCTATGTAGCAAGACTCTGTCACAACAAATGTCTAGCTTAGTTACTTCTATTTCTAGTAAAAAAAATAAAAATAGGTCAGAAGTCAGCTAAAGGTAGCTACCTAATATAAAGTTTTGTTTATTTTCTACACGCAGCAGTTTTATGTTAAGCCTTAGTTATTGCTAAGTCAGGGAAGAAACAGATAGGCTTATCATGAGAAGCCCTGAAAGGTCAGGTATATAATTGGGCTATTCAGAGTGTCTATAGGAGAAACCCAATGATTTGCTCGCTTCCCTTAGGGATGGAGACTGAGGTAGGTGAGGCCTTGTGTATGCTCAGCATGCATTCTCATATTAAGCTATACCAAACCTAATATCCAAACAAAATGATTCTATGAACTCACCACCCTGCTTATCTGGGAGACAGTTAAGTGCTGAGGGCCTTTATCATTCAAATTTTGACTTCACCCGCATCCCACAAACCAGCTGTTCAGATCAAAATGTACTTATTCTCATACAGAGTCAAGTTGAAAATACTAACTTTTACCATTCAAAAAAAAAAAAAAAACAGACAGTTGATATAAGCAGACAGACAGTTTTCCCTCCCTCTTACCCCTGCATGGGAAGACCTCCTTGTATTCACACCAATGCTCTGTGGGGTGCTTGGGATGGCAATATTTGAAACAGGGTTGCTAACTTCAGACTCAGGAGCTGCAGTTTTTGTCTCTTCTCCAATGGCTGTCTCTGAACTGCTGGTAGTAATCTCTATGTCTGAGTTGCTCTGTTCTGTAGGCTGATCCCGCCGTTTCTTCCTTTTTTCTAAATTTTCAAAAGCATGCATGATGGCTTCAACCTTCCTATCTTCCCGGGTCTGGAGAAAAAAAAGAAGGAATGTTCAAGCAGAAGCAGACGCAGTTATTTTATAAGTAACATTAGTGGAGCTTATGACAACTTATTCAAGGTATTATTAAGATAGCACATGCATCACTGAACTAAAAGACAAAATTTTAAAATTTTGTTTTAAATATAGGAAAGTTGTAAAATAAAGCAAATTCAAAAGCTAAAAAATTTAAAAATAGCTAAGCTATATTGACATGGTTTAGTACATAAAGCAACCACAACCAATTTCTGTCTTATTTTCAGAGCTCAAAACAAAGTAAATTGTCATTAAACTTTTTCAAAGCACAGATAAACACAATTTAAAAACTTATTTAATTCATTTCACAGAAAAAAGTATTATGACTTAGATATAAAATGTGTCCCAAAGGCTCAGAATTCAAATGGTAAATAATAATGGGAGGTTGTGGAAATCCCAGCAACTGGCACCTACTTGGATGAAGCAAGCCACTAGGGGTGTGTCTTGGAAGGGCATATTCTGTTTTGGACCCTTTACTCTTTTTTTCCTGTGTTTCCTGTTAGTGACGAGGTAAGCAATTGTTCTTTGCAATGGACTCCTGTTGTCATATTTCTGCTTGCTTCCAAAGCAATGAAGCCAGCAGACCTGACTGAAACCTGTGAAACTTAAGCCCAAGTAAAGTGGGCCTCCTTTAAGATGTTTTTCTCAACCATTTCTCTCATGGAGATAGAGAGCTAACGAAGTTGATTTTCTCTCCATCCTCTCAGTAATTTGGGATTCAACTCAAGACCTTGTGTATGCTGTATAACTTTGTTGTCTTCAGTTCTACTTGATTTTGGTTTTCAAATATAAAAACATAAAACAAAGCAAGAAAACTCCTAATCAGACAAACTCTAGTCTTTATCATCAAATTTTAGGGAAATCCAATTGTTAGAAGGAAATATCTTAAAACCATAAACACTGAGCAGGGCGGTGGTGGCACACGCCTTTAATCCCAGCACTCGGGAGGCAGAGGCAGGCGGATCTCTGTGAGTTTGAGGCCAGACTGGACCAACAGCTTCCAAAACAATACAGAGAAACCCTGTCTTGTAAAACCAAATAAATAAATAAATAAATACTGTGTTTGTGCCTACATGTAGAAAAATAAATAAAAACTATAATGAAATCTATTATGGTAAAATTCCAGAGTTAGGAGAAATGCAGAGACAGCCACTAGATATTACTTACCCTCCTGTTATGAGCTGGGCTCTCCTGGTCATCTGTAGCTTCTTCTTTTTCTTCTTCAGGCTTTTCTTCTGGATTGTCAACTTCCTTTAAGATAGAAGCACTATTAAATCATACTCAAGCTCAAAGCAACATCAACCTGCTTTATTCTGGCATCATTAATTCTCTACCTTTTCCTATGCTCTATGTTGAGAATTAAGTTCCAGGTCCTTATGCATGCTAAGCAGATGATCTATGAGACATGGTCTTATTATACAGCGTAAGCTAGCCTCAAATTCACAATCATCCAGCCTCAGCCTTACAGATGATGGGATTATATATATACCAGGCCTTGAAAGGATGGTTCTTGATATTATTATTAGTATTATTGATTTTTCTTTCTAAGACACATGTTATGTGTCTTGTATTCTAAAACAGGGTTTCCCTGTATAACAACCCTGGCTTTCCTGGAATTCATAGAGATCTACCTGCCTCTGCCTCCTGAGTGTTGGTATTAAAGGCATTTGCCACACGCCTCAGGTGGGCCTCATGGTTCTTACTATCATAAAGTGAAAAGAAAACCCAAATAAGTATATTCATGTTGAAATAAATAGCAGTAAATGTTTTAGTACAGCATCTCTAAAACAACACATGGCAACCTAAGTTCAGATATCCTTGACTTGGCCAGGGAGATTACCTCATGTTCGTTGGAAACAGTTACTTTTTCTGGAACTTCTTGTGGTTGCGGGTTATGATTCTCTTCTGGAACCTCATTTTGTTGCTCCATTTCCAGCTCTTTCCGCCGTGCTTTTCTACGTCTGGTCTCTGCTCCAATGGTGGGAAAGCTAGGAGGGGGTGGGAGCGGCAATTCTGCAGCATTGGGATTTCTTTTCTGTATAGGGCAGTTCCGGTTTCCCTTGTGACATGCACAGTCCACCTTGTAATTACTATGCCAAAGAAATAACCAAAAGTGTCTCAATATTCTTGAAAACAGAATATTATGGCACATTATCCATTCACTTGATTGAAACATCAGTGTAATAATTTTTTCAACTTAGAGTAGGTGTGATAATTTCAATAAATATTCTGTTTTTCTGTGTATCTCTACTTGTAGCCTATGTACAGAAGTGGAAAGAAAGCAAACCTCCACTAAATCAGCCCTCCTTACAGCTTTTACTTATTCATTCATTCATTCATTCATTCATTTTTGAGGCAGGGTCTGGCTGGCATGAAACTCCCTATGTAGATCAGGGTAATCTGGAATTCACAAAGATCCACTTGATTCTGTCTCCCATCTGCTGGGATTACAAAACTTCTAGGCAGGAAATACATTACTTATGAAAATAAAAGGTAGGCAAAAAAAGCAGGGGATTGAAAACAGACTTTCAGTTAAAATCTTTTTTTCCCCCCTGAGACAGGGTTTCTGTGTAGCTGTGGATCCTGAAACTCACACCATAGACCAGGCTGGCCTCAAATTCACAAGATCTGCTGCCTCTGCCTCCTGAGTGCCAGGATTACAGGCTTGCACCACCACCATCCAGCTCTGTTAAAATCTTAATAATGTCATTCATTCATGCTGGTAAAGTTTCTGATGTCTTACCAGTTACTATATTCATAATCAAATGCAATGGTGACTTCAGCATCCTTGGTGATAGCAGATACAGCATATATACACAGGTGAATCATCCCATCTGCAATCATGTGTCTCACCTGTGTGAACAAGGTATCATTAGATTTGCCTTTAAGACCAAAATTTTCATAAATAGGAAGTTTGTCAGCCAAATAATTTCTGCCCATTTTGAGGAGTCTGTTATTTAATTCCATCATTTCATTTGAAATTATTATACATCAGAAAACGGAAAATTAAGAATTCTTTAAAAAAGAAAGACCCAACACTACAAATCAGGGTAAATTTGTTTTATATCTTAAAGCTTGTCTGCATTCTGCTAGAGAATTACAATTCCTTAGCCTGCAAACAAAGCTCTGTTGATCATACTGCACTTACTGTGAATGCACCAAATGAAGAATTTTAGAAATGTATAGAAATTCTTATAACACTGTTTTCCACAATCCTTAAGAGTGAAGACAAATGGCTTAGTTGGGCCTGATGACTACTACTACCACATTGCCTTTCTATTTTTTTCCAGTCCAATTTATAGATTTTTTTTTTTATCTAGTTTGTCTTATTTCTTAGCAAATACTAACTTGCCTCATCTCATTTCTGTCCTCTCTAAAGAAACAACCTCATCCCATCTCCATATGGCACCACACATCTGCATTTAAATATCATACAACTAATAGCTACAGACCTTTGTCTGAGTGAAGTTTTCAGATTGTTTCTTCAGTATACGTGTCCTTTGGTGGTTCCATTGAAAGGTAAGTTGCTAAAGATTGCTTACCTCTGCATTTGGTGTACATGATCTTCTGATGAACCGAGCATCATTACCGAAAGTACGAGCATCCACACACATCTCTACACCATTGAATTTTGAGTAGAAGAGCACAAAGGGATATGGTCTAGGGATACAATTAAAATTCCTGTAATTCTCAACACAAACAAAAAGGCCACCCCACGACTACAAATGTGAATCATATGCTGACACATAAGGAGGAGGCATTTGCAATGCCTAAGCTAGAAAACACCACAAACTTGTCTGCTTTTCATTAAAGAATAAACACAAAGCAAGGAATGCTGGGCTTGGAAAGGAGTGGTCTCCACTTCATATACTAAATATTTTGCAGATTTATTCACCCTTTTGTACCAACAACAGGCAGACATGAGCTTGTTTGAATCATTAGCCTTTCCTCAGAAGCAGCCCATCAAGTAGGATAATTTTTACAGCAATACTGACTGGTCATAGTCAGAACCATGCAAGCCCTCAGTGCTCAATGAATGGTGTTCTTACTTTTTGAAGAAATGCCCATTGACCTCAAATTGTTGTCGTAACATGACTTTCCCACGATATTCTATTATAAGAGTGTCCAAAGCCAAGTCTCTTGCAGCCCTTAGGATTTTCCGGTGCTTTTGAACACGAGTGACTCTCCCCAGCTGTAACTGAATAAAAACAGAGAGCATTAACATTTAAGAATAGCAACAGCAATTTGGTAAACATTTTACAATGTTTCCTAACTGTTGAAAAGGCACCAACACTTTTAGTTTTTATCTTTTGTGTTATAGCTTGGAGAATCAGAAAATTTTCATTTTGACATAGCTCAATTTCCCCAGGAAACATGCTCCAAATAGTGATCTCAGAAAAGGCAAGATGAAAAAAACAAAAAACAAAACAAACAAAAAAAAAACAAAACCAAACAACAACAAAAAACCCCAAATCCCACCAATGTCAGTGGAGCTATATCTACTCTATAGAATTAGCTTCCTATAACTCTTTTGTAATTCCTATCTAGGTTGCATTAGAAACTTTCATCGCCATTTATTAAATAAAGACATTTCTAAAATATGTACCTAAGACAGTGTAGTTACTGCAATCTGATTTTGGTCAGAAGATGGGCAGGTAAGGTAGGTAGTTCATTTGTTATTCTGTAAGGGGCTATAATTTCATCTATTCTTATCTTTGGGTATTAAAAAACATCTCAATCTTCTAGTGTCTTTAATGTTTTAGTTCTTACCTGCATTTGGGAACCAATTACTGTATTATTACAGGCCAGTTCAGTCTTATTAATAGTGTCTAACATAGCAGGTTTGCCCACAAATTCCTTGTTAGAATGTAGATGTTGCTCAAGGGCATTCTGTACATCTGCACTGTACTGATTAGTGAAAGCTTCTTCATACTGATCAGTCCATAGTCTTATCCGATTTTCCCAGCCCTCAGTGGTATTTTCATCTAAATTCTGTGCTTCAGAGGGAGAATTCTGTAGAGAACAAAGACCAAGTGAATCAATAAGACACCATTCATGGATATGGGTGGCAGGATAAGCAAGATACTTGTTTTCATTTGTCAGTTGGTGTGCTACAAGAGCAATGGACTGAGAATCAGAGGATCTGGACAACTTCAAGTAAGAAAACTTGTCTGCCCACTTATAAAATGAGAAATTAATCTAGCCAGTATTTTCACCCATTACTGATTTCATGACCACTATAAATTATAAAAATCACTTTCCTATCAAGATTTATATCAAATTTCTTAAATAATTCATAAAAAGGCAAAAAGGGTCTTGTTACAGTGCATAAAATTTCAAAATGGATTAACATTCAGCTGTATAGCATTATAAATAGTTTGCCTTTGTATTAGGAGAATGATTTTGTTTCTGTGTCACCTATTATTTTCATTAGCAATACTAGTTCATAATCTTACTTCCCACAGTAAAAATCACCATTTGCGAACATTACCAAACACACTTCGAATAATGTACTGCCATTCCATGTAATCTATCATACAGAATTATTTATCCAAATGTGTTGAAGAAACATTGGTTAGCTTTATTGTTTTATTTTTAATATTTATTTTACTGGTGTGCAAGTGCAACAATACTCTAGAGGCGGTAAGAGGAGTTAATTTTCTCCTTCTGCCATGAGGGTCCCAGGGATCAAAGTCAGACTGTCAGTCTGGGCAGAAAGTGCCTTTACCTGCTCAGTCACCTTGCTGTCCCAAATCTATTGGTTTTTGTATCTAGTAGGAAAGTGTCTTTGAGATTAAACTTTCAAATGCTGTTTTCTATTCATTTTCAAAGCTCATACTTAAGATATTTAGGAAATTTCTCAGTAATTTCGAGGAGAAAATTTAATAACCCAATGTTAAAAGTTACAGTGAAACCTTTTTTATTCTATTTAGATTTTGACACACTTATGAGGCTACACTGAAACTGTAAACAAAGTGACTAGCAACTGATGACTTTCTAAAGGCTTCAAAAGTATTAGGTTTCAATAATTAGCTAACAGTAGAAAAAAGGGTTTGTAGTTGAGGTCTACAGTTAGCACCCAAATTTATGTAAGGTCCTTCTTAGTAAATAAAATGAAATGAGCAGTTAAAATAAATTTGGCTACTCAAAGAGATCTATCTCATTAAAGAAAGAATGATTATCATGTGTTACAAAAAACAGTTCAGGCCTCTGAAGCTATGTGGTTGTGAAAGTTGTCTCCTAGTTTCACAAGAGGCCAGACCTTCAAATTTCAGGTAAAATATCACTTGATATCACTGATAACATCAATTGGTGCTCCAAATAAATACAAAGTAACCTCAATAAGTTTATCCTAATTTAAGGAAATCATTGTTTATGTAACGGCCAACTTAAGGGATATGAATACTTAAAAGAAACAAACTACACATTCAAACTAAAGATCTTGAACACAAAATTTTTAGGAGCTGTGAGAGAGCAGGGAGCCGGACATTGGTGGCGCACGCCTAGTCCCAGCACTCGGGAAGCAGAGGCAGGCGTATCTCTGAGAGTTTGAGACCAGTCTGGTCTACAGAGCAAGTTCCAGGACAGCCTCCAAAACAATACAGAGAAACCCTGTTTCGAAAAACCAAAACCAAAACCAAAACCAAAATAAACGGAGAGGGAAAAGAAGATACAAGAAAGTACAACCAAATCTCCTTTCTGCTAACTTTTATAAACCAACCAGTATAACGAACAACAAATCAGCCAGTATCTAAAAGGTACATCACTTCTCCATTCTCCACCTAACCCCCCCTCTTACATATAATCAAGCCACACAAGCCCTACTATTTGTTAACTAGTATTACATAAATCTCCACCAAACAGATATGCCAAAAAGTGCTAATTTAATAACAATTCATATTAACAACACCAACTTCCTCCCAAGGAGTTACCCTTCCTAATGGTGATTCAAAGCCTACATATTGTCAGGGAAGGTTTCCAAGAGTTTGGCTCATTAGTAGAAAAACCTCACTCCTCGGGTTGAGTCCAATCACAGGAATATAACACACAAGTCTCATTTTCTCTATAAAAAACTCTGACTTACCCCACCACCACAAAGGCAGCTAATGAAACAGAAATGTGAAAATATTGCATAAAATAGCTAAGAAAATCCACTCTGGAGAAAAGCTCTATGAAAACCGGATGGCAACAATTACAAACTCATGAAAAGCAGACTCCAAGATTCTCAGATCATCAATGTCAGGAAAGAAGCCTACCAAAATGCAAGATCAAACATAAAACACAGCATCAGGGAAGGTGACCCCTTACCTTCATCCGCAAGGACTTCCATCGGATCCCTCTCGAAATGCCTATCCCAAAGAGGAAAACAAGTAGAACAAAACAAAACTTGGTACCAAGAATGACAGTTAAATCCATGAGACTAAAACTGAGGCACTAACTAGTACTCTATTCTGTCACATTTTCTCAGTGTAACCAATACAATGGTATACCTCAAACTGTGACCAAGGAAAATGACAGTTCAAAGGCTAATGAACACAGATAAGAATTCCAATACTTTGGTAGAACTAGACAACTAATAGGTAAGAGCGTGCAACACTTAAATACTATACATACCCCTGACACTGAGCAGAAAGTAATGGCAATCCTTAAATTGCAGATTATCAGTCTTGAAATTAAGAAGGAAACAAAGACCAACACCCTTTACAAAGAGTGGGCAAGTGACCTGGGAGCAACGAAGAGTTGTTGTGATGGGAAAGAAAGAATAGAAAACACAACAAGTTTCTATGGAGACCTTTTATTTAAGAGTATAGGAAAGTGACCAAGACACCAAGGAAACCTAGACCATTCAAGAGATGTTTTCTGAGTTTTGGTGCTGTTTTGTCTAGATACAAGGACAAACAAACAACCTAATGACCTGAGGCCACCCATGTAACCAAGAAAAGAACTTCAGATCACTTTGGGGCAGAAGTACGGAGATGCTCTAAGGATAGTGGAAGCCTAGAGTTGAGGCTGCAACTGATACAGCATTATACCAGGTAGGGGTAGAATTCCGTACCTAGGATGGTGGTTGGAGTAGAAGAAGCTGAGCCTATGGTGATGCTAAGTAGGTTAGAAGAGTTTGGTTTTGGGCTGGAGAGATGGCTCAGCCGTTAAAGGCTAGGCTCACAACCAAAAATACAAGAGTTTGGTTTGTCTACATATAAGAGCTGATTTTTAAGGAAAAACAAAAGTGACCAAGCACTGGTATCAAATTTCATCAAAATATTTAGTTGTATTCTTGCTCAAAAATTTAAGCTATTTTAGACATATTTCTATTCAATGTATAATGCATACCTTGATCTTCTTCGTCTTTGGTGCTGCACGACCCTTTTCTGGACTCTTTTTCCGCTTCTTGGGTTTGGTTCTTCTAACAGTTAAGGTGATGCTTGTAGGTGTGTGCTGTGTTGCTGTGTACAACACAGTGGAAGGAGAAAGCTCCTCATCCCAGCTTTCTGTTGCACTGCTATCCCCACCTGAAAAAAAAGATGATTTCACAGTTCAGGTACTAACATCCATTTCCTTCTTTCCATGTGCACCACATCTGGTAAGTTATCACTTCTACTATAACCCTACATCTATAAATCAACTTAGATCCCATCTTTCCTCTGAAAGTAAGATTTTTTTGTTGCATTAAATGTAAGGTTTATTCCACATTCCATGTATTTTTCCCCTTCAAAGTAGTCTCCAAACTCCATTGTACTAACTATAAATGAATAACTTAAAGAAAAAGGATTTTGTGTGAGATAGCTATGTACTATTGAAGATAATTTAAATCACAAAATAGTTAATCAAAATGTGGGTTTAACCCACCTTCTGCTCACCTGATATGTTGTCCTGCTTCCGCCGATGAAGTCTAATAACCTTCCCCCTGCTCATTCCCCTAAAGAGGGAAAATAAACTTAAAGTAGTCCTTCCAGTCGCATGCAGCACATCACATCATACATGGGAGAAGTGTCTCTGCATATACTACCCCCTCCCTCCCACCTACCAAATGTTTCCAGGACATTAAATTTCATATCAAATTCAAAAGCTTTAACATCAATCTCTCATTCCTTGTTGTCAGCAATTCTCACCTAGTGCAGAGAATTCGAGCCAAGGAGCACTAAGGAATCATCTACATTAACAAACACAAGAAAGAATACTTTGAGCTTTTCCCTACTGATAAGAAACCCTAATCCCAGCAACCCAGGTGTGAATTTAAATGGAACAGGATCTTACCTGCACTTGTCACAGTTGAGAAGGAAGCCATCCTGAGAAAGACCACAAGGACACCAGGTAGGAACAGTCTCTCCTTCAGAGTTCGGGCTGTCTCCACAGCGTTCCTCTACGGGCGACGGCAGGCCATTCAGGTCAGAACGAGGGATGATCGTCTGGACAGGGGGAGAAGCAGGAGGTGTCGGAGGAGGAGGGGCTCCGTAATTATGATCCTGAAAATAAGATTTTTTAAATCAACAGTGTCCAAACACTGGCCCCTCTCTCCCCTAAAGTATGGTACATATGGAAAGAAAGAAGAAAGTAGTACCCTTTGTTTTTTGGCTTCAACCAGGAAAGTGATAAAACAAAATGCCAAGGTCAACTGGGACATAAAAACAAGAACAATGATGCAGGGCTAGACGTCCGCTGGAGGCAGGGAAGTGCAAAAGGGGCAACTTCGTCATGCTGCATATAAACATTTCAAGAAAGTCACAATGTATAAGAATGGATTACAATCCAGGAAGATCACTGCTCTGGAGAGAAACAAGTGCATACTCACAGCATAAGGCAGTCCTCGACACCCATGCCTCTGAGTGGTCCCATAATTATGAGTGGAATACACGCTCTTCTCATTAACTGCTGGACTAGCCTCCACAGATTCAGGGCTGCACAAAGGCGAAAAGCAACGCATGATAGCATAACACCTACTCTTCCCTTAAACTAATAGTTCACTTCCCATTCTAACCCCTTCTCCTTCCACAACCACCAGCCACTAGAATAAGAAACTTAGTGAAAGTCTATTTAACATAACTAAGCCTATGAATAATAGTGTTATTGAATGTGGATTTGTGTGTAACACGAAGCCAGTACAGGCAGATGTCTCAAGGCAGGCACCTGGGATACAAGGTGTCCCTAATGACAAACACAAACGTACCAGCAGAGCGGGGAGTTTCCCCTAGAGAAGCCACTCTGGGCTGGTTTAGACTCAGAACTATTCTTCTTAATTGGATCTCTTAATACTTCCATGAAACCTCACATGACATTTGCAGTGAGTGAGATGATGAAAGTGCCTTCTGCACTGCCCCAGGGACCAGGCCCTCTTCCATTCACTACCAAGACAGGATACCCTGAAGAAAGTACAGGCAAAAACAATGGCATCTTATATTTATCACACCTCTCATCTTGATGAACCCCCAAATACCTTTCACATATTAGAATTTCTCATCCACCAAGGACATGCAAGCATATTCAAAGACACAATTGTTTAACAGCTGCATGATAATAACATGGAACTTCAAAATACTCAAAACTCAACTTGGAAGTCAGATTTGTTTTATGCTAAGTAGTAATTAATTGTAGTTACTATTATGAATCACCTATTTCTGGGTCTGTATGTATTAATTCATTTGAGATCTGTGATTACTAAACATGATAGGCCACATCCCCTTTTTACAGAGGGAAGTGAAGCTGAGGTGGTGAGATTACGTAATTTTTCCTAAGTTCATTGGATGACAGAGCCAGGATTTGAAACAAAGATGTCTAACTCCAAAGCTTGCTCATTTCCCATTATGCCTTGCTTGAAAGCAACTGTATTTGAGGTCTTTACTAACCAGGCTCATTGAGAAACCGAGAGTTAGCTTTGTGTTGATCCTGGGTGAGTAGAAAATAAAACTACCCAGGCACTTTTTTAAAATTAAAGAACCATACATACATTCTATGTAATAAATTTAACATAAGTTTTACTTGATAATAAAAAGGCATCCTTAGTGAAAGATAAAATAGGCTTTAAGGGAAGGATAAAATAGGTTTTTGTCTGTTTACTCAACTTTGTTACTTGGTTAGGTTTTATGGACTTTTGAAGAATAAGGAGTGTAATTGTATGACTTAGCAAAAGTGAAAATGAATAATCAGTAATGTATATTATTCAGAACAAAGATTCACCCATTAGTAACTCCAAGGATCAGTGTTAATACAACTCCAGAGATTGAAGGGTTTTAGGGAATCAAATAATTCAGTTTGCTTCAAATAACCATGCTCCTGCTTCAAGATATACAAAATACACAACTCTGAGCAGGAGTAAAGCGTGCAATTCTATGTAGCACATTAACTGATAAGTGAGGGATAAAGTAAAATTCTGAGACATGTATCAAACTCACCTAGTTTTATGCTCCACAACTGTGAGAAGGGGTCTTATTAATAACAGCAAAGGTCATTTCTAGGTGAGGAACTTAGACAGAGGAAAGTATTCTCTGTTAGTGAGGTGCATGCACTTTAGTAACTGACAGGGTCTTCAAAATGGGACTGGTAGTGGGGGTGGCTGGGAAGGAAATACATCAAGAATGCAGGTCAGTATTCTTGAGAAAAGTATGGTCTGAACATGGGTCACTGAGGCAACTGGCTGAGTATTAGGAAACAGTTAGGGTTTCCTAAATGAAACCAAAGGCAGACAAGCATTAATAAAATGAAGGCAGAATTTAGTTTCTATGATGGACAGTTAAAAGAAAGTAATGGATTTATACATTGTTATTGATAAGTATGTTACTAGATAAATAATCCAAAGAGTTGTATATATTTTTAGGTAGGAGATTTTATACCATTAAACACATGGGGTGAAATAAGACATTTTATTAGAAATGAACTTTTTTGTGGGACAGGAAAAAATAAAAGTTGCATGAAATAAAAGATGGCCATGGAGATGGAGCTATGTTGGTTATATCTTACCCATCTCCAAACTGGGTAAATATGTACATATGCACTTCATGTGCAAGTCTAGGGAATAAAAATAAAACTTATATTGTGGAGGTTAACAGGCCACCCTACTGTTCAGTAGTATGTAATCAAGCACAGCATTTAAAATATTGCTATGCATGTCTAATCTAAAATTTAAACACATCTTTAATGAGGAATCTTTACAATGTCTACATTGGTTAGGGATTGAACAATTACACACTGATATACACATTGACTTTTATTTATATTTTAAAATACAGATTAAAAATTTACAGTATCAAGATCTGGGGATGTAGCTCAGTGGTAGAGTGCTTGCTTATCTAGTCTGTTTGAGGACCTGGGTTCAAGCCTCAGGACCATAAAAAAAAACAGCACACACACACACACACACACACACACACACGCACGCACGCACGCGCACACACACGAGTATTAGGACTGCATGTCTTTATTAGACAACCAGATTATGCAAATAGTTATATCTTTTTTTCTTCTTCTGTGACTAAAATGTTCTAACAGTTGGGCATACACAGAGAAATTCAGGTCACAACAGATATATTCTATCAATTATGTTCAATGAACAATATGCAGCTTGCTACCATGACACCTCTTAGAAAATAGATGAAATTCTGTCATACAAGAGATGCAAGGATCTTTTTTTGGTTATATCTGTAAGTTTTCCTATAAGTGTATGTGTGTCTGTGTGTGTACTGAAGAACGTAAATTGCTACATTGCTACAGAGTTAATAATCTCATGAGGCAAGGTGCAGGTTTCTTTCTTGGTTAGATGTTTCCTTTAATACCAGGTTTAATCATAACAGTGCTCAGAACAATGGTTAGGCATGATGAAGAACAAATATCAATAATAATTAATAGACTAGCACATAAGCTAACCAATTAACATCAATGCCCTTTGTAAAACTGCTCAACAAGACATGTGAAATTAGTTGTGACCATAGATAGTTAGTATTAGAACTTGGGAGACACTGAATTAAAGTGCTCAGAAAGTCCTAGGATACAGCACTACAGTCATAGTACAGATTAGACTGCGTTCATTCTTGCATTACTCCTAGATTCCACAGTACATATGCGTGTAGCTACTGTTATACTTTGAGGGAAATACTAGTTCTAAAAATGACTGCTTTGGGTCTTTTCCTTATCTACAAATTCCAAACTTACTCAATTAACCTCTTTATTTCTCATAAATTTTAATACGGTCTAACATATACATCATATGTTAATGTTGCAGTAGTTTATTATCTGACTAAGGCCTACAACCACTATACAATTGAGTTGGCTATCCAATAACACAGGAAGACTTTTAAGTACTTTGTTTTGGGAAAGAGTTATACAATGGAAGTCTCAGATATAACTAAATCTTGTTGGCATGCAAAAAGAGAAAAGAAAAACCCAGAAAAACAAAAATACAAACCCAAAGAACCAAACCAAACAAACCAACCACCCCCACAAAACCAAACCAAACCAAACCAAACCCCCCCAAGCAATACAAAACACAAAGCCTCTACAATAAAGACAACTGACTTTCCTATGCCCTCCCCCCTCCCATTGTTATATGGGAAGAAGCTTAAAAACCATCTTTCAATTCCAGACTACCCCAGAATACTATACATATATATGAAACTTCCTAGGGTAGTTTCATGTCTTCCTTTTTAAGGAACCCAATAAATAGTGAACAATAGGAAGCTTTATGAAGAAATGTACATGCTCTTTAATAATATCCTGTTTTAAGGAAACCACTATGAACAAGGGATGCCATTCAACCCAGAATTCTGGAACAGTTGCTTTGCTTTGCTGAAGGGGAAAGAATTCCCAGGGACTGAAAATGGCAAGAGAAACGGGAATTAGAGCAACACCCACCTCACTCAAGAAGTGGCTGTGGGATCAAGAGTCTGAACTGGACCTGAACATATTCAAAACACCAGGATTTTTCCAGCCCAGACCCTAATCCCTGGTACTGCCTGGAATAGACTTGGCTTCTGGGGGTGTGCTGCCCCCTAGGCCCCTTGGGTCTCTTTCGCTGGACTTTCACATCCTGGTGTAGTGCCACTTCGTCTTGAAAGGTAGGGGGCTTCCACTTCCTTTCTGTAAGCAAGGAAGATTGGGTACAAGGGAGGTAAAAGGACAAGAGGGGGGAATCTGTGAGCTGGGGCAATCTTGGACAACTTAAAAGAGAAGGGATACAAAAGGCTAAAAAATTTTAAACTGAGTAATATATAAAATTGTATAATGAAGGCCTACCTTCATTGTCATTTGGCATTTAAATTCTTCAAGAACTGAGTCTATTTTAGGGATTGGGATTTTCGACAAATTCTGAATTCCTAATGCTGCTCTTAGCTGAAAAACAAGTTTGGTACCACTGACTTTGAAGGTCCTCTTTCTAGGCAACAAATATTGTAAAAACAGATGATACAGCTCTCCATGTCTTCTACCCCAGAGTGAGCTGGTTAAGCAGACTGCCCATATAGTTTCAGCCCCTTTACTCTAGAATAATGACAAGTACATAGGAAGAGGCCTTCAAAGAAAATCAGTTGGAAAGAAAACCTATCTCTCTTATCAGAATCATTAACGCTTTAGAAGGAGGTGGTACACCTACTTCATTTCAATCTTCCCCACCCATAAAACAGGAAAATATAACCATTGCTTTGCAACTTTGATAATACTTATTATTTACCCAGAAATACCTCCTTTTAAAGTTCCTTTCCTCCCCCTTCTAATTCCTTTGTCCCTCCAGCTTGGGGTGGGGGAAGGGCAAGACTAATGTTTTCTGAAGTTGGATAGGTTTGAATTAAGAAAATATTACATATAGCTTATTAACTGCCCAGAAGAATCCATCCTCACACAAACTTGAAGCAATCCTATTATCTAGGAAGTAGCACTTACTCTGATCCAGCAGCCATATCTGAGTAGGATGTATCTGGTGTGGTGACTCCCAGAGGGATTGCAATGCTCATGACGTCCAAGACAGCAGAGAGTGGAAATCACGGGGTCCAATTAATGGAGACTGACCACTCAGAGAGTGGGGGTGAGCTGCAGAGCCTTAGCCAACATGTTATGGACATGAGGAATCCTGCCACAGAAAAGGAAAACAATAACTACTGACCAGAGTTTTTCAAATTTATCTTAAACACTGTAGAGTTTTTCTACTGTTTCAGTAAGTCTTTTGTGTATTTGTGGTATGGTGCACAGTGTATGCATGTCAAGTGTGTAGGCTTGAGAGTATTTATGAATGCACATGGAAGCCATAAGAGGATTCTGGATGTCTTCTTCTATGGCTCTCAAACCTTATTCAGTATTGACTGACCAACAGGCTTAGTCTCTATTCCCACAAACACTGGTTAGAGGTATGTGAAGTCACATCTTCCCATCTTTTACATGGATGCTAGAGAAAGGTTTACTATGCACTCTGATTTACTAATGTTCTACAACTGAGGTTAGTAAAAAGTTATGCTTACTTTTAAATTTCTATTTTAATTATTTTCTTTTCTGCCAAAGAGGAAAAAAAATAGCTGGCTCACTAGCAATCACATGTTCCTCTCTAATTGCCCAACAGAGTTTTCCAGTAGTCTAGGACATAGCAAACAAGCTTTAAGATTCAGGACAGTTATCAGAAATATCCTAGTTTACGCCTTCATAGTTCCATTTCAATTTTTCCCTAGGCAATAAATGTAGCTTTACCAACACTCAGTTATTACTTCTAAAGAAAACCCAGTAGAAATAAATTAGTTGTTCATTTTTGATCAGACAGCCATTTCTATGCTTTGACTTGTTTTTTAAGAATACATTTACGTATACGGGAGTTTCACCTGCCATGTCTGCACACTACAGGCATGAAGTGCCCACACAGGCCAGAAGAGGGCATTGTATCCCCTCAGACTGGAGTTTCAGACAGTTGTGGTACTAGGTAATTGAACCCAGGGTACTCTAGAAGAACCATCTCTCTAGCCTCTCTCTGACTTCTTTTAAATAGTCTTAACTTGTCTTGGAGAAGATATAATTATCCAAAAAACTATATTTGGACAGCAACATATACTGATAGATATGAATAAAAACATAAACCACAGGAAAAAGGTAAACATGTGTAAGTGCAGAGGATATACAAAAATCTGTTAGTTCCTGCTCGATTTTGCTGACTTAATAACTGCCTTTAAAAAGTATACATGAGTACTTTTTCTCTCTGTGAAAGATAACATAAAAACTCTAAACAACATTTCATGACAAAGATTAGAGATTTTTTGCATTAAAAAGCAATAAACAGCTGGGCGGTGGTGGCACACGCCTTTAATCCCAGCACTCGGGAGGCAGAGGCAGGCGGATCTCTGTGAGTTCGAGGGGGGGCTGGACCGACAGCCTCGAAAACAATACAGAGAAACCCTGTCTCGTAAAAACCAAAAAAAAAAAAAAAAACCAACAACAACAACAACAACAAAAAAGCAGAATCTAAATGACTCACATCAGTGGTTTCATATTAATGTAAAAAGAGCCACTAAAGCAGCAAACAAGCATTTTATGTGTGTGTTTGGAAGTCAATATTAGTCTAGGCTAAAAAGGGTCTCATAACTGATACATGAATTTATGCTAAAACAGTAGAAAGTAGCTGGGCGGTGGTGGCGCACGCCTTTAATCCCAGCACTCGGGAGGCAGATCTCTGTGAGTTCGAGACCAACCCTGGTCTACCAAGCGAGTTCCAGGACAGGCTCCAAAACAACACAGAGAAACCCTGCCTCGAAAAACAAAACAAAACAAAACAAAAAACCAACAGAACAAACAAAAAGACAGTAGAAAGTAAAATAATTATCAGCCAGGCAGTGGTGGCACATGCCTTTAATCCCAGCACTTGAAGGCTAGCCTGGTCTACAGGGTGAGTTCTAGCACATTCAAGGCAACAACAGAGAAACCCTGTCTCAAAAAACAAAACAAAAATTATCAATACTACTTAAAAATAGCTAAATAAAATGAAAAGCATAAGATACTGGTTGAAGCAATCCAGGAATTCACGGAGACTTTTAAATAGTTACTGATTTGAGATGTGAATTTTAGTATTTATTTATTTATTTATTTATTTATTTATTGGTTTTTACGAGACAGGGTTTCTCTGTATTGTTTCGGAGGCTATCGGTCCAGCCTGGCCTCGAAGTCACAGAGATCCGCCTGCCTCTGCCTCCCGAGTGCTGGGATTAAAGGCGTGCGCCACCACCGCCCGGCCGTGAATTTTATTTTTATAAGTGAGATAGATCAATGTGGTTAAGAAAACTAATTCTGAATGGTGAATCAGTCCAAGATTTAAGGCTACCTATACTTTTGCACCATTAGTTCAGAAAACTACCACAGAGCTATAAATTAAAATGGTTTTCTGTAGGACCTGGGTCTCTTCAAATAGGGTATAGCAAAATACCTATTCTCATCCAACTCATGATGACACTGTTAGATTGAAAATTGAAATACAAATGAAGTCAATCTTACTATTGTCATAATTCATGATAGATGTGACTGGTCCTCTTGCTGTTTTTGGACCAACTTACAAATCAATCCCCCCCCTCCCCAGTAGTCAAATAAGAATTCTCAAACACACAAGTCATTGGGAAAATGACACAAGATCTGTGACAAAACAAAGAGACCACCTACAAATAAGTCCAAAAGGGCATATTAAAGGGTAGATATTCCTTCTAATTTTAGCACTGTTAGATAATTTTCATTAAGACTAGAAGTTGTTTGACTAGATAACCAGAAGTCTATCAGATGATCATAATCTCTGACTAGTCAAAAGAAATCCAAATCATGTGTTTTGTTTTCAGAAAAGTCCTTTAAAAAAAAAAAAAAAGAAAGAAATGACTCATCTGGATGGTGGTAACACATGCCTTTAATCCTAGCACTTGGTAGGCGGAGGAAGGTGGACATCTGTGTGTTCGAGGCTGGCCTGGTCTACAGAGTGCCAGGACAGGCTCCAAAGCTACATAGAGAAATTCTGTCTCAAAAACAAAACAACAAAAAACAAAATGAAAAAAATCTTTCTACATAACCTAATGAAATCCTAATACAACAAATGGGTGTGGTGGCATACACATGTAATCCAGGCATACAATCGGCAGAAGGATCAAGAGGGGCATGCCTGAACTACATAGTGAGACCTTGTCTCAAATGCAGTGGTGAGCTATTACACCAGCTATCTGGACAGTTGATACACATCTTTAGCCTCTTAATTTCTCTTCATAATTTTTTCCCTCTTGCCTAGTTTTATATAACTATACTACTGCTACTGTTCTGATGAAGGCAATTATAATAGGCCAATTTGACCATATTGTTCTAAATTATGCTTCTATAATAATGAGATTTCTTTTTTAAAATTTATTTATCATGTCTATGGCTGTTTCATCTGCATGTACACCTGCACACCAAAAGAGGGCATCAGGTCCCATAGGGCTACAATTATAGAAAGTTTTAAGTTCTGGGAATGGAACTCAGAACTTCTTCTGAAAGAGCAGTCAAGGGTCTTAACTGCTGGGCCATTTCCCCAGACCCCAAGATAAGGTTTCTTAATTCAAATTCTAATAATACAAATATTCTCTTTATATAGTACCTTCCTTGAAATATGGTGTGAAATGTGGCCATTTAGATGTTAATTGAAGACTCTCTCTCTCTCTCACAAATCTTTTATTATAACACTATATTATATAAGAAATCAGGTATTTACTCTGGTTTATCAAGTTTATTAGTTAAGAGTAACTATTCATTTAATCTCATAGTTTGCCCTGAAAAGAGTGTAAGAAGAACTCTCTAGACAGAAATAACTTTCAAGATTTACTCCATCACTCAAATACCACTAAAAAACACAAAAAAATGGCAGGGAGTTTTACAAAAATATTTTTGCCCACTGCTATAGTTCCAGTGGCTAAATACTATGACACATCAAGAAGGATCAAGAAAATATTTACTAAGAAAACTCATCATGGTAACCAATATCTGCATTTACTAAAATTCAAAATACAACAACTGAAAAGATTTGGGTCAGTCACCTTTGAGGTCCCCCTGAAGATCTAGAAAAGTCTGAGACACAAAGTAGTATATGAAGAAAAATTGATGGGCTTACAAAGTGCAAACCTACAGATTAATGATAATTTTGTTTGCTGCACTGCCTTATTAATCACTTTACTTTCCATTTAGCACCAAGCCTAATCTTTTAACTTGCATACCTCACTGTGCACAAAATAAACTAAGGGCAGGAAGGAAATAGCCTTGATTTCCAAGGTGATGAGATACTGTATCATACTGCATCTCTTCCCTTCAAATCAAAACTCCCTTGTTTCACAAGGAACCCTCAAAGGTTTCTTTTTCCTTTTTCCTTGGGGGGGAGGTCCCTTCATCGACCATCCCCAAAACTCAGAAACTTACTTTTCCTTTTTTTGAAAAGTCTCTGTAGCCCAAATCATCCTTGAATATGTATCCTGCTGACTCATCCCAAATGCTATCAAAAGCATATGCCACCACATCTGGCACAGACCTCTTTTCATCAAATACCAGATTTACTCTGGACAAGGACCTAACAAAAACGTCAAATTATGACTCCTTTCTTCTCCCTCATCCCATTCCTGACAGTGGGTTGGGGCACGTTTGGGGGTGGGAGGGGGAGAGTTAATCAGTTCTAATTATGGTCAACTCATCAATTCTCTACATTTCCCAAAGGAAAGGAAAACAAGGAACCTGTAAGATTTGGGGAAAAGAGGAGGAAGAAAGGGAAGAGGCAATGAATATTTCTTAAATATCAGTGTTTTCTCCACAAAGTCAGATATAAGTATTGGCCAGAATGAGCTCTCCATACCTGAAATATTAATAGGTTATAAATATGGGAAGAGAGCTGTTCATGAGTCACCAACCATTAAAGGGCAACTTCATTTTTCATTCTTTTTTTCTTTTTTGGTGACTTTCCATTTCTTAAAAACCTGGAAAATAAACTACTCTTTAGAAAAATATTTTCAAAAACATACTCATAATTAAAAAGTCAAAGGCATGAAGCTGAAAGTAAAAGGAAGAAATAAAGTAGGCCAAATATTCAGCAGCAGCAAGTAAGAAAAA